AGATACCATATCAACCAAAACCCGTGATACAAAACATTCTGCGAAATCCATTGAAAGGCTTTGATTGTCGAAACATTTGGTTGTTTTTATGTGTCTGAAACCACAGAAAATGTTAATATTAAAATGAATTATAAATATTGCATTAAGTATCAATCGGCACTGAAGTGAAATTTAGTTTTTCTTTCTAGAGAAATGGGGTTTAACGTCCACTCGACACAAATTAGGTCATTTCGGAACTAACACATGGTTAAATTTTATTTCAATAATTCGCTTGCGCGTAGGGGTCTTTAGCAGTGGGTGGAAACCGGAGGACCCGGAGAAACCTCACGTACAACCGAGGAATCGAAACCCCACCAGTTGACTCAATGACAGACCGTATGATACAGCGCAGCGCGCACGTGCTATCCATTCGGCCATCCGACCCCCCTGTATTACCTGGGGTTGTATGGGTAGAGTTTATATCCACATCTCAACATCTATAATAACGCAGTAATCATTAACTGTCAATTGTCATTACAAATACAAAATAAATAGCACCATTAAATTTCCTGTAAGAATAACGGTTATAGTGAAGTTATTTAAAACTAGCTTCCTTGGTGGGATCATGGTGACTGTCTCCTAGTTCCCGGTATAGGAGGTAGGTCGCCATTAACTTTAACCGTGTCTATACGACTTGCAGTGCGTCCATAATGGCAATTATCTCTCCTCCTCCTCCTCCTCCTCCGTTTTGCATGGCCATTGTGTTGATTTTTTGGTCTATAATCGAAGAAGAGTGTTTGAATTTACATTTTCTATCCGGTTTTGGTAAATATTCCTGGTTAAGAGGAGGAAGTATGACAGAGTTAAGAGGTTGGTTACAGTGATATATATATGGACATACGGCGGAAAATTTAGATGTGTGGAAGCATGCGTTAAACAACCAAGAAGAAGAGAGACACAGACTAGGTCATACCGGGACTAACATATGGTTCAATTTTATTTAAATAATTCGCTTGTGCGTTGGGGTCTCTAGCAGTGGGGGGAAACAGCAGAAAATCCACGAGGTTGAACGGGCGAGACTACTCCTTGTCACGTAAAAGCGGGGAATCGAAACCACGTTACCTGACTCAATGACAGACGTCTAATCCCACGCGCATGCGTTAACCATTCGGACGCCCAACCCCCTCCAAGAAAAAGAAGGGCATTTACATGTTTATAGTAATAGTATGCTACTTCAAACATTGGAGCAAAGACATGACCAGTTGTTGCGCTGAAAAACGTTCAGCCCAAAGAAATTATAGGTGGTCTGTGTCGTGTATCATAGTGGAGTTTTCTCCCTTGATATCCTGTGATTCCAGACAAAAAATGGTGGTACTAGTTAATAATTTTTGTATTGTTGTTTGCGGTGGTAGCATATTCTTTTTAAAAAAAAACGTATTCGAATAAAATATATTACGTACCGTCGATTTTATATCACAAAATCAAGAAAATATTGCAGTTTGAAATACGTCTTCGAAATACTTATTTTTAATTTAAATTAAACAAACTGATGTAATTCATTGTAATTTTATTCTATAAAATTAATAATGATGTTTAAATTAAACAAACTGATGTAATTCATTGTAATTTTATTCTGTAAAATTAATAATGATTTTTATGTTAGTTTTTGGTGTAAGACAATATTTATTAGTCTATGATATATTTTATTCTACAAAAACGTATATTAATATTTGTATCCGTTGGGCTTCCGTACATTCCTTACAATCATGATAATATTATGGCAAACGCAAAATATAATACCGTCGAGTTGTCCATCATTTATGAAATATTATTTTTACTTTGTTAATTGTATTTTTATTTTCCATATTATAAACTTATGAAAATTGAAATATTACGGTTTTAAAGGAGCTAAATCGTTAATTTTGGGGACCTAGAAATTGACACAAATGGGTAGCAATCGTTTTTGTTTTTACTCTAATTTCTAATCAGTTATGTTCGGCGAAATATGCCAGAAGTCTCAATCTAATGGCAATGGCAATCTCTAGCATCTGGTTATTCTCCAGTCCACACCGATAGTATTTATTGAGCATGCTCTCCAGATAAGAATATGAGGTCACCGTTTGACATGACTTGTTGAATTATGTCTAGGCTCGTTCTTAGAGTTCCTTGTTAGAAATTGCCCTGAAACGCATTATGGTACACGATTTGTGTACCAATGGTAAAATGTTTATTTTGTCTTAAATACTGGATACGAGAAGCTCATCTTTGGATTATATTGAGTTAAGAAACTTAGCTACTTAAATATACATCTTAGAAATGTGTGTTTTTAATTTAAACAAGTTAATATATAATGATTTTAACGGATAAACATATAAGCCAGTATACATATTTATACTGTAAAATTAATAATGGTTTTTATTTTGACGATGGTGTAAGACAGTTCGTATTTTTCTATATGTTGTTTTTATATATATAAGTAAAACAAATTTCCCCATTAATTTTACAGTTTTTTCTTGTATTTTTCTATATGTGGTTTTGGTATATTTTTATTATAATTAAAAAAAATTCCCCATTAATTTTACAGTTTTTTCTTTAAATGATCTTCACATTATATTATTCCTTAAAATCATTTTTTATATAAAAGATGGAGTTAAAAAATGCTGACAAAAAATATTTCAACTGTCTACTGTTGTTTTATAATGTAACTATTTTAGTATGGGAATTGAAGTCGTAAGCCTCGTAATTTGAAGACAAATGAAAAAGCTGAAAGTACAAGTCAACTGTGTCATGGCTTCCGATATCCGAGTTCCTTTTCTAGAGAAATATAGTGACGATGAAATGAAATGTTATACGATTTCTAGAACACTTTGCTATACGTTCCTTTGGCTTTTATGTAGAGGGTTTATCCAAAATAATATACCACCGATATCACAGGCAAAGTTAGGAAATAAAGATTGCTTGTGTGCATATTGTCACACATATTTCGATTAATAAGTCGATGAAAGTTTGAGGATGCATTTCTGCAAAACGAAAGCTGGGTGATCACAGCAGCTTGCACAGAGATTCAACATACCAGAAGCCCCCGTTAAAATCTTACAGGCACAACAATCGATCTGTATTAAATTATCTACAGTAAAGCTACCCCAGTACCCAAATCACTGGGAACAAGTTTAGCAAACGTGCCCATTATAACGGTTTTGCTTTTTTCTTTAAAAGAATGTAACTCCATTGTGGACGTTACTGCCGTTCGTCCCTGTATGTGTGTGTCTGCGAGTTGCCCGCGGGGCGCAATTCTTAACTGATTGTCTTGAAACTCTGCACACTTATTCCTTATCCCCCAAGGATGACCCGAGCCCAGGGGCAGAGCCATGCCCATATTTTGTATTTGATTGTCTGTCGCCTGCAGGCCGCATTTCTTAACGGATCATCTTGAAGCTATGCAATTGTATTCCTTATAGCCTAAGGATGGCAACTTTTGATTTTGGTGCATGTCCGTACGTCCAGGGGCAGAGCCACGCCCATTTTTCTTTTGTTTATCGTATACAGGCCGCAATTCTGAAGGGATCGTCTTGGAGGGGTCACGGTGGCTAAGTGGGTAAGACGCTGGCTGGCTACCCTGGAGGTCGGGTGTTCAGTCCCTGCATTGGCCGAGGAGGTTCATCCAGATTTTCCGGCGTGGTTCCCTCTTTTCAGTGACGCAGGACGGAGGGCCTGACAAGGACAGTAACTGTCGTCTAGTCGTTCGAATGGGACAAAAAACGAGGCCCCGTATACACATTGGCGTGCACGTAAAAGATCCCTTGACAGTTGGAATTCGATATGAGAGTAGGCTGTAGTGTCGCTGTTCGGGCAAAATTACCCTCATAGCACATGGCGTAAGCCCGTCTCCATTAGCCCAGTTCGGAGCAGAACAGTAGGACGTTAAACCCCATTTCATTTTATTTCATTTCGGATCATCTTGGAACTGGGCACATGTATTCCTTATAGCCGAGGGACGACGAGTATTCATTTTGGTCCATGCCCCGACCCCCAGGGGCAGAGGCAAAACCATTTTTTGTGTGTAGCACCTGAAGGCCACAATCCTAAGTGGATGATCTTGGAACTTTTCGTTATACCCCAAGGACGGCACCTATTGATTTTGGTGCATGATCCGCTCCGCTTGGGCGGTGCCACACCCACTTTTTAAAAAAAAAAATATTTTGTGTGTAAATAATCTACAGGTTGCAATTATTAACATTTTTGGATCCAATTCAGCATGATCTAACATAGGGTTGTACTTATTTATATTGCTCCATATCCAACCCCCAGGGGCCGAGCCACGCCCAATTTTTGTGTTTATCGTCTACAGACTGCAATTCTGAATGAATAATCTTGGAACTTTCCATATTTATTCCTTATATCGTAAAGCCAGCAATTATTTATTTTGGTGCATGCCACGGCCCCCAAGAATATTGCAGCGGTGCTGATGCTCTTGTTCATACAGAAGCCATAGCCGATTAGCTCAATTTTTACTTTAAAAAAAATCTATTAGTTGGCAAATGTATCTTATGCGTTTGTCGAAGGAGACTATTGAATTTACATTTTCTGGCTCATTTTGTTGAACATTGGTGATTTTTAAGTGCAGAGCTCCGTAGGCAAATAAGCATGAATTTAAAATAATCACTCAACAAATTACGTCTCAGGGATTGCTTTGACATGGCGTAGAAAAAAAAACTTGCAATATTGTTGGGTTCGTTGTAGAACTTATAATGATTAAGGGCATTGGAATGTTTAAAAAGTGTAAAAAGACAAGAAATGTGATAGATTAAAATTGGTGTCAATGGGTTGAGAATTACCAGTCTGAAACCAGTCAACCCTTTCCAAAATGATGGTTATTTCCCTTTAATCGTCCAGCTCAATCACATCTAGTCGCGATTGTCCTAAGATTGATTGGTGTAGTCTCGATTGTCAAAAAAGATGATTTTTATAAACAATAAATGTTTACGCATGCCCATTACATAATTTCCGTTTAATATTAGGAAACGAAGCGGAGTCCGAAATGTCCAACAGCTGATAACGTCTGTGAAGTGGACTTGGGTCGACATTAATTATAAATGGTTGTAAATTGAGGTGATGGTAAACTCGTAGTTAAAGCAGTGAATTTTTAATTGACTTCATAGTGAAAATGGCAGTTGTCCTAACTACACATCAACTACAAAAACTATCTAATCATAAATACAGTGCTGAAGGCAGTTCAGTTTTAGAGCCAGGGTTTCAAGTTTTTTGGCGATGGTTGGTGGAAAAAGTACCGTTATGGCTGGCCCCGAATACAATTACAAGTATTGGTTTAGCCATAAATATCCTTACAACTATGATATTAGTTTTATACAGTCCTGACGCCAAACAAGACGTGAGTCATAATTATGTTTACAAATTTCTTATTGCAACCATCACACATTCACACATAATATGTATAAAGAAAAAACAACAGCAGGGTCTCCTATTTCTGTCCGATTTCTGTCTCTGTGGAGGACACTGGTGATAGAGAATGCAAGATTTTCCAGTAATGGTAATACCATATAATCTTAAATTGGCCACGTAAATAAATGGATTTTTACGACTACAAGTACAAACTAATAATTGGGCTTTGATATTTATTCTTCTTTTAAAAGTAAAATGATCTCTGAACAAACAGTTATAGGTTCAAAATAGATTAGTGAGGCATCATGTTCTTATATTTATAAACAAGTCTCATTGAAATTTAATACAAAATTTAATACCCATATTTCAATCTACCCAGCTGTATGGGTATCAGTAGGACTGGTGTATAAATACAATTACACAACATTCAGTCGACAGTAACTAAAGGCTCTTTCTCAGATTTGAGAACTCAATGAACTTCCAGGGAGGTAATCAGACTGTACCAGTAGCCCGAAGTAATAATTGTGTTTCATAGTATACTCATAGTAACATTGAAGTCATTAAAGTTTGGTTTCTTTCTCAGATTTAAAGAACACAAGGCAGGTAAACAGACTGTACCAGTAGCCTGGGCGTAATAATCATGTTTCGCCTTGAGCTTTACTCTTACTGGTGAATTATAATAAATACATAACACATTCTTATTATCATTATTTGCGGTACAGTTCTTTCGTTAAAGAAAAATAAAGAACTTAAATGGCCGTAGAAAGATCATTACTAAAGTCGGTACAATAAAAAACAGTCTCAATCATCCTTTTCATGATTAAATCATGAATGAAAGTTGAGCATCAAATCTGATCGTAATCCAGTAAATATAGCAGGCTAGAGTTGATTATAAATGGTCTTAAAAAGTTAATTAATATCTAATTGATAATTTAGATAACATTTCAGAAGACATGCAATATGCATATTTAGCTCTTGCTTAATGTATGTTTAGATAATGCATTCATTTTTTTATAATAGAGTTTCATTCGAAAAACATCTTTGATTGACATTATTTCATGTCTTTTAGTTTTACATTGTGTATGACTGTGATAAGATTGCTTTAACATCTTTTTTCTAGTAAATTCTTTTGACACATGGACAGTACAAGAACTCTTGAATAGAGAATGACGAACAATGGACCTACTGCAGTCGTTCCATAAGGTTCTCACATAACAATTAACCTTTATTGTTCTAATGTCAGACATTCATCATTAATTATCAATAGAACACTCAATATAATCCTCTGTTAACGACTGGGTATATGATTACTATTTTATATAACTGATCATGAGCTAACATGCACTATCTATATACAGCTAGTGTTAAGGCATGAAAATTGACAGATGGGTCTCTAATATTTTTAGTCAATTTTAGGATGGCCGAGTTGGAACCACCGGCACTTGAAGGGATTAAAATAAAACTTCTTACTACTGCTTGACTATATATATTATAGTATATACTATAATATATATAGTCAAGCAATATTATAGTATATACTATAATATATATAGTCAAGCAGTAGTAAGAAGTTTTATTTTAATCCCTTCAAGTGCCTGTGGTTGGAACCCATCATTAATGAAAAAAAGTGGCTCTTCATTGTCATAGGTCTTTGGTCTTCATATTATATACACACCCTTAACTAAATTTTTCTACTACATGTTAGGTCGTTGTGTTGTTTGCAGTCTATTTAATTGCAAACAAGAAATGTTATACAAATTATTGTACTTAATATTACACACTGTTATGATTCAACATTACTAACAGTGATGATATGTCAGTATGTGTGGACCTCCTTATCACATCCTAATACAAAGGTTGGTCATTCAAATAAATGCTCTAATGGTATCTTAATTAATGTAGACTTTAATGTGATAAATTTACTGTCAGGCTACTACCAGTTGCTGATTACTAGGCTACTTGAAACTTGTATAAATGTCATTTAACATCATTTGATTAGAGAGATTATCTCGCTCCAAAATGGTCGAACACAGTTACACTTTAACAGAAATATATATTTTGTTGTTACTGCTAATCTGTCAATTACACTTCAAATAGTTCAAACAAGTGAAAAAAAACCTCCAACTTCAATAGGAACCGAAACAAAAATATTTTGGTTAACCCGATCTAAACTAAACTAAACCTAGTCTTTGAGATTTGGGTGGGAATCTATACCTTTAGTTTGTAGGCTATTGCAGTGATATTAATATTATAAAACGCGTAAGATTTATAAATCAATCCCAAGTCGTAATTGTCTTATAAAAAGTCAGCATTCTAGTGGTCACATACTCTTATCAAATGCTAATTTTACTATTCAACAGGCAATCTGATTAAAATACAGATCAATATTTCGTTTTGTTTCTTTTACTTTCGATGGCCTACACTACATAAAGATCTGACCGGTTGTTGCGATAGGCCACGTCAGAGGTCATACGAGCAGCCTTTGGCCCTATGACGTCAGACATTTGATTAACCAATCAGCATTGATGTTACTAGTGGATTACCCACGGTTCCGTGTAAAACACGCCTAAAGCTCGTAACAGACCGTTTCATTGGCTAATTACCTCACACCATTCAGAAACCGTCAAAGATAACAACTCTTCCAGATCCTAGTGTAGTAAAGACAATTTTGAACTATAAAAACGAAACGAAATAGGATCTGTGTTTTAATTAGATCGGTCAAATGTTCGATTCATTGTGAATGATCAGTTTTTGGATTTTTAAAAATTGTGAATCTTTTAAAGCAATATATTTTCCTTGTTTGTTTGTTTAATTTTCAACATTGTACATAGGCCTACTGTCTTATAGGACAGGATTATGAGAAAAGCTGACCTACATGTAATCACCTTAAGTTTTAATTTACATCGAAGGACAACCCAAACATCAGTGCCAATATATTGTAACTCTTAATTGATACAATATTCAAATGAGAATGTTCAAATATTTTTAAGTTGTTTTAATTTTAAAGATCAATCAATTTTTAGTTTAATCTGGTAAATTTTGTGTGAAAATCTCTTATAGAACGTATTATCTCATACCAAACAAAGTTAACAGAATGATATTGAAATTGACTCTGTAGGTCCTTCTGTTCCAATTCTGTTTACAGAGCATATTTCATAAACTGTCAGTTGTTATGAAACTTTGTTCAACACATAACCTATATAATAGTTGTGACTTCTGTTAATGAAACTTTTTTTTTGGGATTTAATGATGTGTTTCCATGGAAACAAATTTGAGCGTAGGATGTTGATGACTGAGTCCTCTTGTTTGTTTTATTTTTAGGTTCCTGGATGGGCGTACATTTTATGTGGTCTGGGATTGTTTGCCTATCAATCATTAGATGCTATTGATGGTAAACAAGCTAGAAGAACTAAAACTAATTCACCTTTAGGTGAACTCTTTGATCATGGCTGTGATTCTGTTTCTACAGGTAAGTTGACTCAATGACCCCCTTTCCAATATTGACCTATCCTATCATACATGTCATTACTATGTCTGAATTAATCCATGTATAGATAACAAGTGTGGTGAATTAAAAAGCATTGTCCTACAGATATTCTATGATGGCAAAATTTTTAAACATGTATTGCACATTATATGAAGTTATAGAAAAAAATAATTTTGTCAAGTGTTAGTCTCAAAATAACCAAAGTATTGTGTTGAAGACTTCTTTAACCCCCCTTGGCTATAGTGTGAGGGTCACTTATAAGCTACTATAGGTAGAGACTCAGTGTAATGCCTGTACAGTGTAGTAAGGAAGCACCAAGATTCTATATATCTCATTAAGAAAAACTCAGACTTATGTGTATTCTTGTTCATGAACATGTACGGTATAGATGTAGATTTATCAAAAGATAAGCAGTATAGTATAATTCAATATTTAGTGCATGACTGATGTGGTTAACGTTATGATTTTGTATAGACAACAAAAAGATTATAAAAAAAAACCTGAAGCCTAAAGAAGTCTTTCCATTATATTTGAGTAAAAAACAAACTGGTACATTTTGTGTGAATGCCTCTTAGAAACCTTTACCAGGGATAGAACTTTATTTGAAAACACACAAGCAAAATTTTGCTTGTTGTTTTCAAATGTAGGCTACAAGCAAAACTAGGATTTTGAAGAAATTCAAGGGGCAATTTTTTCTTTAATGAAAATACTTTTATTATCTTTGGATTACATGTACAAGCTATGTTATACATTGGAGTGTACATATATTCCTTACAATTTCTTTAAAAAGCTAATGGCTAATAAAACACAAGAATGAACACCCAAAACTGCCCTCACTATATAATCACTATATTGTGATATTTTATGAAATGTCAATACTTTCAGTTTATCATTTTTTTAAATGTAAATAAAGATGCATTAAGTTGGAAATACCCCTGGAATATTCACTTGACCCTATTTTCAGCATACAGTACTGAATTTACAAACAAAATTTTTAAACTTGCAAAAATTGTTGTTTATTACAGTTTTAATTTTCAAAATATTAATTATAATATTTTATTTAAATGACGGAGGCACAAAAAAACATAAAAAAAAGTTTGTGTTCTTTCGGCCATGCATATTTATTTTTATAGCTACCCTTGAAAACTTGTTTTTTCTCACTCAAGCGTATACCTTCTTGAAGATGCATTATATAATACAAGGATAGTAAATTAAACTATAAAACATAAGTACTATGTCAAAGAGTGTCCATTGATTTAGTCAAATAGCGATTTTTCGGATCACGGACCGCTATGCATTGCATGACACGTCCGAAGCTGAATGATAATCAGTCTACCGGAACTGTCAAAATATGTAGTTGGCAATGTTGGCATTATTTATATTTCTGCATTATTAAAATTAATTTCAATCTGAAAATCAATGATTCCTTTAGAAAATCAAAGTATCGGTATAAACAATTTGTCAAGATGTATAGAAATTGAACAGAAACAGGGATAATGCTAACGGGTGGAAAAGTGAGCGAGAACTCACATGATGTAAACAAAGCTCCTTATCGGCATTTGCAAACTTCGTGGAAAGAATACTCAGATAACAGTATTTATGCATCATTAAGCAATAAAATATCGTAAATGACATCAATATCAACACGCATTTTGCGTGTTTGCGTCCGTCAAATTCGATCCCTGCCTTTACTATAGTCATGATGTGCAACTATCCAAAGCTCTGATACTTTTCAAGAAATGCTGACTTTTAGTGTCTATTCACGTGTGGTTGGCCAGAAGTCCTCTTTATTTCACAAGTGCCTTGATAACCATGTCATTCTTTGCTGATGTTAAATGTTCAGTTAGCAATGAGATGATCATGCCACTCATCATGTAAATGAACAATAAAATTCTAAAGATGTGATACGTAACTCGAGTGGGCAAATCTAGCAATCAGTTGTGGATGGCTTAATATTTGATAATTTAAGACAAGTAATTCTTCATATTTTGTTTTGTGAATTACATATTTAAAGCCACTTCTGTTTTTTTCAGCATTTGTTATGTTGGGAAGTTGTATTGCATTAAAATTAGGACATGAGCCAAATTGGCTTTTGTTTGAACTAGTCTCTGCTTCATTTTTATTTTATTGTGCACATTGGCAGACATATGTCTCTGGAACATTGAGATTTAGCAAGTAAGTGTTTTTGTTGTTTTTTGTTTGTTTTTTTTTGTATCGTGTTTGCCGACTTTCTTTTTCTGGAACACTTGATGTCACTTTTAATGCAAGATGGCTGTAAAATAAAATGAGGTTTAACATCTTATTGTTCTGCTCTGACTAAGCTAATGAAGATTGAAGATGGCTGTGAGAGCCACATCTAAAAATGAAAGTTGTTTTCAATCAGATTTATTATAATCAGATATTGCTAACAAAAGATAATTATTTAAAATCCCAATATATAAACCAAAGCTATTTTATTGATTGATTATGTTAATGAGATCAAATTTGTATTCAATGATCTTGATTGAACCAGCTGTTACAGTGAATGCACGGCCAATTACATGTACTATAATACATATTTTCTATTTGGTCCTTGACACTGTTTATGATTTAAACGTTAGAAAATTGAATTTACTAGAAATAGTGACCTTTTCCTTTGACAGTTTCCTTGAACAATACTGTTTGCCCCTTGAGCCAATTCTATATTAAACATATTTTCTATTTGATCCTTGACACACTTTGTTTAATTTGATTGAATTTATCCTTCTCCTTGGACCATACCGTTTCACCTTGATTGGTGATGTCGGAAGGTTCTTGCTGTATAAATAGCAGGTGTCTTGTTTGAGGCATAACATGCTTACTTTTCCAAGAACACCTGATGTAATTTTCTGTTGGACCAAAACAAATGTTTCTTGTTGATTTTTAAATGGTCAGTTCGGTTTCTTATTTTTTTCAGAATTGATGTGACGGAGGGTCAAATTGCTATTATTGCTATTTATTTCATAACTGGTGTTTTTGGGGAGGGTATTTGGGAATTAGAGGTAAGTATTTGATTTTTATATGTTGGGGGAAATGTTAGACATGTTCATACTTATTGAACAGCTCGACTAAATCTGTAGACTGCATTGTAATACAGTTTGGTTGAAATGGTCGTTAATTTCAGTTGGCTTATTGGAGTATCTAGCTGTTGATTAATTTTACTTAAATTGATGAAGTTAACTAATTGCTTATTTCTCCATGTTACCTCTCCATATATTTTACCAGAATTACACAATTTGTAGACAGGTTGTAGTTTATTTGTTTGAAAAAGGGCAGTGCATAGAGTAGAGACCCCACAATCTGACAAAGTTCTCCTCCCCAGTGTTATGTTTAAACCCCATTTCTCTACCTTGACATCACAAATTGAAGTCGAAAGAATGGATTATAATTAGTGACTGCTGTCAGGTGTCAGGCATAAAGCAGGATATGCTTAATCTTTCTGGAACCCGTGTTTTAATTCAAATGCTTGTTGCATTAATTTTGATGTATATTTTTATTTGTAGGTTCCACTTATCGGAAGTTTTAAAATGTTACCAATTTATGTTAGTATTGGTGGCGCCTTGCTTCAAATCAACAATAATTTCTCCATTATTTTTATGAAAGGTGGAATCGGTAGAAATGGTTCTACTGTAGCAGTAAGTCTATTTGATGATCTTGACTAGGTTATTTTGTGGGACAGCCTTCCACTTTTCAATTTTCACCAGCTTATAAGAGTGTTTAAGCCCCCCCCCCCCCTCTCCAGAAGTTTCAATTTCCTTGAGTCTTAGTGTATTTTTTAAGCATTTTGGACCGTAACTTAATTTAGTAACAAATTGTGCCACTTGCACCATACTATTAACTAGAGTGGTAAGATTTAATGAGACGTTTTCAGGTGGGGAACCCTATTAAATATATGCTTACAGTTATATTGTACTCTATTGATTTTTGATACATACTGATGTTCAATTTTTTTTTTATTTTAGGGAACAAGTACAATATTTCCTGCATTTCCTTTATCATTGGTGTTAATATTAGAGGTGATAATATCGTATAAATCTCCATCAAATGTATTTTATAATAATCCATGTTTGTATGCACTTAGTTTTGGTCTGCTGGCAGCAAAAGTAACAAATAAATTAGTGGTAAGTACAAACACCTAACAGATAGCCGTAACGTTAATCCATCGGTTATGTCAATGGACTAATAAAAGAAAATCAATGAGGGGTTTAACATCCTACTGTTCTGCACAGACTAGGCTGATGAACTTGAGCATAGGCCATGCAGTGTGCTATGAGGAAAATTTTGCCCGGGCAGCGGCACTACGGCCTACTATTATTTCGAAGTCCATCTCTCATGGGTTCTTTTACGTGCACGCCAATTTGTACACAGGACCATGGTTTTTATCCCATCCTGAACAACTATACATTGTCCCTTGCCAGGCCTTCTATCCTGCACCACTGACAAGCGGGAACCAATTCGGAAAATCCTAATGAACTTTCTCAGCCTACACAGGGATCAAACTCGGGACCTCCAGGTTAGCGAGCCCATTTCTTACTCATTGAGACACCGCGGCTCCTCCATGGACTAATAACCAGAATGTTATGGGATTGATTTCTTATGGACAGAAAAGAACCTTCGGGTTTTTTCAAGTGGCTGTCAGTTCTCAGCAAGATGTTGATTAACCTCCATTACATTCCGTTAGGCTGAGGGGGCAACTGTGGTAATGTGGGTATGAAATTGTACAGGACTTAACAGTGCAGTGGACGCATGCACGGCTAGCCCTCCGGATCCATTCACTTGATCTGATGTGGGCCTTTGTTGTTTGAGGTGTCTGTGTTAATTGTGTCCTGTCTATAGGTTTGTCTAAAGCTGAATCAGATGCCGCCAAAGTGCCATTCGCCTGAATCAAACATGTTTGATATATTCACCTAGTGTGTCCGGTTCGCCGAAGCATTCAACCCAATTGTAGAATTCATTAGCCAATCAATCACCACTGATATCTAGAAGTCACATGATTGTTTGAAGACATGGTCGCTGACATGTTTATTCATGTGACGTGAAAGGTGATGCAATCAACTGGTGAATTGGGTGTAGAAGTCCCCTAGTTTGTCTACTCATTTGGCCGAATGAATTTGGCTGCACTTCAGCGCCGATTGATTCAGCTAGTGTGTCCACGGCTTTATGTAATTGTTTGAGTGTGGTGGACAGAGACTGTTAAAAATATCCTGGCCTCTGTGTCCTATCATCGACAGGTTAGCATATTTTTCACTGACTATTTCCAATAATGTTCCTTTTCTAATGTAAAGATTTGTCATGCAAATTATTGTCTCTTCTGTATTTTTTCAGGTGGCTCACATGACAAAAAGTGAGATGGAATTATTTGATTTAGGTCTAATTGGGCCTGGAATGTTGTTTTTAAACCAATATTTTAATTGTATAATAAGAGAAGATATTGTCTTGTGGCTGTGTTTTGTAAGTATTTCATATTAAACCACAAAAATTGCCATCACAAATTTGCGAATTGAATCCACCAGATCTTGCCATAAATCTGTAAGAAACAATCCAACAATAAAGCTGGCTTCTCCCATCTTAATACCAAAATTTATAGATGACACTCATTAATTACATTTATCTTTTTATAAAGCTTGTACCTTTAAAATTACATATTACTATGCTTAACTGAGCAAAAAATGTTCATTATCAAACTTAGTCATGGTGTCAATGTAATAAACGACTCTTGCTTTATTAGAATCAAAGTTATGTTTCAAATCATTGACAAATCAAATTACATACCTCTTGTAAGCCTGAGCATAAAAGCATATCATAAATCCCCATCGAGATGTTTGCCTACAGATCTTTGCATTAATGAAAAATTGTCTTTATTATATATTTTTTTTAACTTTTCCCTTTATGAAAAATTGTCTGTATTTAATTTTGTTCAACTTCGCATTTATGAAAGAATATGGCGGTTGAGTGGTCGCTTGGTTTAATGTGTGAGCTTTAGATTATAAGGTCCGTCATTGAGTCAAGTGGTGTGGTTTCTTCGATTCTCCGCTTGGATGTGACAAGAGTAAGGTCATCTGTTCAATCTAGTGGGTTTTTCTCCAGATCATCGGGTTTCCTCCCACTGCTTAAGACCCCAACGCACAAGCACAGTATTGAAATAACTTTGAACCATGTATTAGTCCCAAAGTTACCTAGTTTTTGTTGAGTGGACATTAATCTTCATTTCTCTATCTCCCATGAATGATTATTTTCTGATTTAGTTTTTAAATGGTAAATAATTGTGATAATATTTTTATTTCAGATATGGTGTTTGTTTGATTTAATAAAATATTCCACCAATGTTTGTAATGAAATCTGCGATTATTTAAATATTTATTGTTTTACGATCACCAGTAAACCTCGACCTGATAATACAGGAAGAAATGGAAAAAACAAATCCAACTGAAATCATTCTAACCAAAATATATTATGTTATATAGAATAACAATAGTCCACACTGATATTTTATACATGATAATATTGACATGGCCAAATTTTCATTGGTCATTTTACATTACTTTATGAGTATTTATTCTGGTTCTCTGAGTTTCCTGCCATCAGGGCTGGATTAACCATTAAGCAAAATAAATACGTGCTTTGGGCATCATGGGAAGGTGGGGGCGCCTCCCACTTTGTTGTGTAACAAATTTAAAATGAATTAAGGACTTTTAATGAGCTTTTCATTTTTATACGCCCACATTGAAATGTGGTTGTATATTGTCGTCGCCCCCGTCCGGCGGTCCGGCGTCCACAATTGCTTGTGGACGCTCTAGAGGCTAAAGTTAATATCTGATTGACTTTAAATTTATACACAGTGTTTAAGGTCATGAGACGAAGAAGCCTATTGATTTTCAGCGATTTCCGATAATTACTGCCAGAGTTATGGCCCTTGATCACTTCAAAAAATCTTGTGGACGCTCTAGAGGTCAAAGTTAATATCCGATTGACTTCAAATTTATACACAGTGTTAAAGGTCATGAGACGAAGAAGCCTATTGCTTTTCAGCGATTTCCGATAATTACTGCCAGAGTTATGGCCCTTGATCACTTTGAAAAATCTTGTGGATGCTGTAGAGGCTAAAGTTAATATCCGATTGACTTTAAATTTATACAGTGTTTGAGGTCATGAGATGAAGAATCATATTGATTTTCAACGATTTCGGATAACTACTGCCAGAGTTATGGCCCTTGATTACTTTGAAAAATCTTGTGACGCTCTAGAGGCTAAAGTTATCATCCGATTGACTTCAGATTGGTACACAGAGTTTAAGGTCTTGAGACGAACAAGTATATTGATTTTCAATGAATCTTTATGACTTGAACAGCTAAATCCATGATGTTTAATGTTTTGTATACTAAACATTAGCATGGGGTAGAACTTTATAAAAACCAAACAAATTCTAATGGTTTTCTGATAATTACTTAATGAGTTGTTACTCTTAATCAGATTTTAATGTATAAATGTTTCATTACCAAAAAAGTAAAAATATGCGACAACTTTTGTTGACTGCCCAGACGATATAGCTGCTGTGGGCGTATGTTTCGTTGCCTGGCAACCTATCTTTTTAAAATATGTAATTTAAAAATGAATTAAGAACTTTTAATGAGCTTTACATTTTTTTTCTCCTTCCTTACAAATTTATTTTATGGTTTATTATTGTTTGTATTTGGAATTTATATAGGCCTATATATAGGGGCACCAAAATCTATTATGTGCTTAGGACCTCAATTGGTCTTAATCCAGCCCTGTCAACATTGCTATAGAGCCCTGCGTGCACGAAAAAGTAATGAAATATAGATATTCTGTATGTTAGTCCCAAAATAAACTAGTTGTGGTTGATGAATGTTTTAATCTCTAATCTGTCTCTCACTCTTGATCATGGCAACTACATGTAATTTATAACTGTAATATCCTAAAATTTCAAATAATACAGTATAAAATACCTGTATGTCAGTATCACTTTCAAAGTTTCAAACGAGTTTGTGATTTGAACCTTTGGATAACTACATGTAGTTGTTTTTATGTTAAGAGAACAAATCTAAGAAATTAATTTGACTGATGAAAGGTGCTTTTAACATATTAGTTATACAGTATTATATTTGAATCTGAACCGTCATACATAAAATACGTGTGTAGACTGTTGTTGTTCTATAGGTTGTACTTTTGTTTATTTGGAAAGTTGTATACTCACTAAGTTTAGGTGTAGGAGACGATGAGTTTTTATGTGTTATATTATTTTAGTATGTTTATACCGGTAATAATAGGATATGGTACAATATTACATATCCAGTATTCAACATTGCAGCCAGTTGACTGACAATATTCTCAGTTCAAACTTAAAGAGGCATTAGCAGCTTGGGAGTCGTCTTCGGGTCATAAAAATGTAGTTACATTGTGGCTGTTCGAATTATATTGTATGCAAGATTTTGACATATATCTGCCAAGCTATAACTTAATTATTGATGTTTTCACTTGAATTTACGTTTGTGAAATTTGCTGTATGTATGTCTGCTCTTGGATTTCAACAATTAGGCGAATCAAAGGATATTTTAAATGTGAAATTATTCAAAATTAAGTACATTTATTTTCTTGGTGAGAGGGATGATGCTTCTTTAAGTATAGCACAGTTCAATTAGTATTGCTTTCAACTTTACAAAACCAGATAATGTAAATATTCTAGGTTGTTGTGACTACTTCCATTAATTTAATTTGTCAGGTTTTTACTAGCTGTGTCAATAATCGAAAGTAATTGTGATAAGGGAGTTTAAGATTTTAGAAATAATCTAGCCCAGTGATCTTATTTCATTTTTAAAGTTGAGTGTAAAACTGGTTGAACAAAGCTATTGGTTATTGTTAAGTGTAAAATGTTCCCCTTTATGTCTGTTTCAAGCTGAATCTTTTTTATTTATATAGAATATGATACAGATAATTGACATTATTCATTTCAGAAAGAGTGATTAGTTTGATCCCCCTTTGGATTATTTCATGATTTAACAATTGTTCTGTATCAAGTTACGTTATACATAATACATTTACAAGCAAAGAAAATTTTAAAGAAAAAAGAACATAATGTAAATTTGTGTTTTATTTGCATGGTTTCCCTTAACCAACGAAATTCTATCATTGACATATCAGTTAATAAATTTTGAATATTATCTATTTTTTGTTTTCTGCTTTAAGAAATAAATCATGTTCATTCCAAGACAGCAACTGAATTAACATTGTCACTATGTCAAGGTATTTAAATATGTGTACTTACCAGACTTTGATGTGTGACATACGTTTATGTGCTCTTAAATTATACTATTTAACTATTTCAAAAATATGTTTCTCTGCATTGTCAATAACAGATAAGCTAATGCAGTCAATGTATGTGCATGTAGCAGTTCTTTGATATTATGAAGATGTTGAATTACTGATATATTGATAATTATGCATTTATTTTATGTAATTATTGAAACAATACATATACACCCGGTGTTCTGGTCACCAGACTAAATGGGTGTTATATACCCCAGGCGTTCTATTTATTAGACTTGTAGTCATAGCTAGAGAAGTACACAGACTTAAGAAATTAGGCCTACACGCAGGGGCATTACCATTGGCAGTAAACAGTGATTCCACTGAACCCATTAAATTCTAGTGAAACCATAGTCTACCTACGTCGCCATGAATTATGCAAATGTAATGCATTGATGATAATGTTAGTTAGGGCTCACACATAATGTAATGCATATATTTAATAATGCTTTAATTAATTAGTGCAAGCGTATAATGTTAATGTTTTAATTCGATTTGTACACAAGCCAACCAGTGCCTATTTTATTGCATTTTCATTATTTTGTTACATTTGCTACAATCATGGTTGTTATTGTTTTGTTGCATTTGCTGCAATCATGGTTATTATTTTGTAGCATAATTATTTATTTTTGTGTTGGTTTTGTTGTTTTAACTAGTATAGAGGTAGGATGAAACAAATGAAAGGATTAAGAACGGATTATGGAATTACACAAGAGTAAAACGGATGTTGTTAATCCATGATATCAAATATTTTCCCCATATTGAAATTACCAAACATTTTATGATTTTTTTAGATCATTTGTTGTTATTTTTAGTCCATTAAGGCATTTTGATTTTCAATAATTAACTGAAATTTAAGTTTAATTTTGGTGGCCTAAAATTATTAGGATATTGTTAATGAACTATTTTATGTAAATTCTATAGTAGCTGTTTTATTTTAGAATAGAATTTGGGTCATTTGCATCATTTTTACTTTAGATACTGTCTCAAACTACAACACTTGTGTCCAAAGGCATAACCCCACGGAACTGGGTGGATGGGTTGCAAATGATAAATTAAATGTTGATTATTTAATATTGAATTATGAATGTAAATATATCAATATATTCTTACTTCGTCGGCAGGTGGGTGTGTCTTCTGCAAGTTTAAAAATTTTGCAAAAGTCCCTTAGCTGAAGTTATACTTTATTATTTAGTATCAATTTTGACAGTAAATTGACATTAAATACTTAACTATTATTGAGTATCAATTGTGACAGTAAAAAAATAATTTCTTATTGAGTTTCAAATTTGATAGTAAATTGAAAAGAAAATTTTACAGAAAATGAATCCAAATCAAAACTGTACTTGTATTTCTAAACTGTTATGGCTTCTGGTCAACTTTTTAGACGTCAGCAACGTCCCCCCAAAAATGTTTTCAATGTTGTGTCAAAGGATACTTTCATATCTAATCTTTGAATATTGTGTTGTGTGGGAGTTTTATAAAAGCACCATACTTGTGTGTCACTAATGGTTAGATGTTTCACATATGCATGGTTTAATAAATCTTATTGAGATTAGATGCAATTTAACCGTTTCCTTAAATTTGACAGAGCTTTTAACAGTTAAAAAGTGTTAAAATGGGACTTGATTCAGTGGGTTTTTTTTTTTTAAGTTAACTGGAACCTACAGTAGTTACAAACCATAATGTATAATTAAAATTGAGAAAGTAAGAATGATGCATACGACCCTGGCAGTGGTGTAGTATTTAATGTGACAGGGATTTTATTAAGGATATGTTCTCCACTAATTTATTTTAGGATTAAGCTTATAAGTAGGTTGTTGTTCGTTAATAAGTAGTATATTTATTAGATTAATTAATTTTATTAAAGCACACAAGCATTGTTTTATATCATAACACTATATATTGAATTTAGAATTATATAGTTGGTGGTCCTGCACATTAATAGGCCAAATAAAAAAATACTTGTGTTTACCAGTTACTTGACTAAGCTCTCTTTTTTTTTTTTAGCAAAAATTGCCAACCCTAAATTCTCATTTCCCAGGCCTTATAATTCGGTCTGGGTGAGATTTTCTCTAGACATTTCCGACACTGAGATTTTGGTATTATTGGTATTGAGAAATGCTAGGAAATAGATAATGGTGGGGGGGGGGGGGGAAGTAATTGTAAACACAGGTGTTTTATTTTCTTGGCTTTATGATACATGGTAAAGGTTGTTTGTGAATGTGTTCATCTCTTCAGAGGCAAGTTGCTATATGGGAAAAGCAACTGTAGATTAATTTTAATATTCTATAGTTTTGCTCTAGCAACAAGAAATTATTTAAGATAATTGGAGATAGTTATTAGTAAACTTAATATTCACTGGCTGTTTTGTTCAGCTTTTTTTTTTTGTTATCCTGCACGGCCTGGGTATCATGAGATTAGCTTGCACAGAAATATGATGTAGAGTATGATAAAAAAAAACAGCTTGTAAAATTAAATTGAATGCTATCTATACATTATTTAGTTTGTATTTTCTTGCATTTAATACTCTTTTATGGCATGGTTTTGAAATAGAGAAGATCAGAACAATGCTTTCAAGCTATGTGTATTTCACAAGATAGAAATTTATCAACAAAAAGTTGCAGCTTTTAAATACTGTATTTTGAAGCCATATTTATGTTCAATTCAGTCTCTTTAGATAGGTTTTTTTAAAATCCTGCTTCCATAAAAAAGGTAATTTGAATTTTAAAAAAAACCCCAGTAAACCTGCATGGTTAACATGCCCAGTGGATGCAGGATTTGAAAGAGAGTTAATTTACACTGTGAGTTATCAGAAGTAAATGTAAATGGAGAATATACAGTTAAATACCACTTGTAAAATTTGATTACCAAATCTTCTGGCTTAGACATTTAAAAAGAAAAAAAGGCTATGCAATATTTTGTTGAGGAATTTTCTTATCTGTGGAGTGATTATTTGGGTAAATTTGTGTTCACTGGTCAAAAATTATCCATGACAATATAATATATATCCCACCCCACTCAGTTTCACTGGAATGGTGGAATTATAGGGTCAAAATATTGCCATGGGGTTTTGATTTTTCAATTTTAAATATTTTATAATTAGGTTTTACTATACTAGAAATATGTAGAAATTGTGAGAAAATTATTTAAATCCAACATGTTGAAATTATTAAATTTTGTTTAAAAATCCAAAGAGGGAGGTGAGAACTCTTTTATTTATGATTACATGTATGTATACTAATTACATAATAAATAAACTTCATAAACAACTAGACTTAAAGTGTTGTGTTTTGACTGTGGGTAATAGGCAATCATCTGGGCAAGATGTGGTCAGAGTTTAATAATGTATTATTAACAGCTGGAGTAGGATCATCTGTCGATCTTTGTGGATTTTCACTTGGTTCTTTGGTTACGATAAACTGCTAATATTGATAAGGGTTCTTATAAAGCGCTAGACTCCAAACAGTATTGTATGCCCAAGGAAATAATGATAAATATGAACATCGAAACAGGTAGGTTTTGAACTTTTGTTTAAAGACACTGAGACATGGGGCTGTCCGTAGATGCAGATGGTTCCACGAATGTGCTGCATTATAGGCAAATGATCTGCTGCGAAAGGTACATCTTCATATTATTCTTTGGAATAGTTTATGGAACCTAAGCAATGGTAACCAGATCACAGTAATCTAGCTGAACAGTATTTATGAATAGTATTACATATAGCCTGTATGAATTAGTTCTGCAATGACATGGTTGTTTAAGTTTGTTTCCAAATCAAATTTTGACCTGATTTTAAATATAATTCAATGGGTGCACATGTTGAGCCCCTCCCCCCACCCCACCCCCAATCCATTTACTGAAATGACATACAAGGTGCAGAATCAAAATGTAGAACATGTTCACAGCCACATAATTGTATGTGCCTTTTTTTTTTTACTGTTATTTAGAGGGGGCCCTCTCCTGGATCCGGGCCACAGGACTTTTTTTTAGTATTTTTGATAATATAAATATCTTAATAGGCTTCCAACGAAAACAGTAAAAAAAAAGTGTTTGTATTAAATTTATTGTCAACACGTGGTCTCTTTACCGGTTTACCAATGTGATGTTTATCTACTTTTAGTTTGGTTTTGGAAGTAGGTCAATATGTCAATAAACCGGAAGCAAGTGCCCGTTGCTATTTTTACCGTACTCCCGTTAGCGGGTCAATTGAAGAGGTTACAAAATGGCGACTTACTGTTATTGAATTTCGGAATATTATTGTTTGTTTTTATTAGATTTTTGTTGTGTATTCGTACTATTTGTGCTATTTGCGTTATTGTTTCCACAATGGGGGATATCGGTGAACTGTTGTCACAATATTTTGTGCGTTTAGCATCGTTCCAAGGACTAATAAATGATAACCAAGCGAGTGACAGCGGCTGTCAACAAACACGCGTTGGAAATAATAAAAAACAAACTGTTTCTATAAGTGCTAGAACATCGTTTATAAAGTTAGCAAGAGCTGGATTCTATTATGCTGGAACTGTTGAAGGTATTCAATGTTTTGTTTGTAAATCGAAAGCAAGATACAACAATTGGCATAACGAATCTCCAGTTGCAGTCCATCGAATATTGAATCCATGCTGTCCATTTCTTAAATCGGAATCATCTTTTTGTTCAAGTGAAAATAACATTTGCAATAATTCTACCACCATACAATCACCAACAACTGATGGTCTCATATCTAATCATTGTTGTACAAATAGTCAACAGCCAGATAATCCTACACAGTTGCAGGAACCCAGTGATTCTAGAGGTGAATCAAATGATGTTCCAAATCTCATTCGACCAGGTGAAACACCTCCAAATGCTAGCACTAATGAGAATACAACACCTCAGTCAATGAATAGCATTCGCAGAAATTTATTCTCAACAAGTCCTACCAGTAACCAATCTAATGTAAACGTTGATGACAATTCAAGCAACCAAATAAATGAATCAACATATCATAATAATATCAGATCTAGGTCTCGATGGTCTGATCATGTTGAAGAATATACAGGAGGAATTATGTATCCAAGAATTGGTGACACGGTTTTCAATGCTTATGAATCATTTCGTATTCTTACATTTCCTAATCCCCAAGATGCAAAAGCTGAAGAATGGTCTGTCAATGGTTTTGTTCACATCGGCAACAATAATGTTCAATGTGTTTATTGTGCAGCAGTGACATCATATCAAGAACAATTAAACATCAGAGATGTCCATGAAAAAATCTCACCAAAAGGTCGTTATTATTGTCCAATGGTCAGTGGAATTGACATTGGAAATGTGTCAAGAAAATTAGAAGAGTTAGTCAGAAAGAAGTTGATTGATAAAAATAACAGACCTAAAAATATGAAAAACAATTTCCCTGTTCTGCATCCGCAGTTTAGAAAGACAAAAGAAAGATTGGCATCGTTTGAGCATTGGCCAAAACAATACAAACCAACCAAATTACAGTTAGTAGAGTCAGGATTTTTCCATACAGGTAAAAAATTAAACATCTTCTGTGATATTGTCGCAGCTAATTTTGTAATAAATAAGCGCTTACTTTTATCTTCCAGATCCTAGTGTAGTAAAGACAGGTAAAACAAAATTTTTAACAATAAAAAACGAAACGAAATAGGATCTGTGTTTTAATCAGATTCTTAAACTTCATACACTGTCAATTGTCTTGAAAAAAATGAAATAGATGTAGAAATAAGCCTACCTTTTCTATAGGCCTATATAGGCTTACATGTAGGTATCTATACAACAAAAAGTAGGTTAAGTACCGGTACTATACAAATAGATTTAAAATTTTAATTTTTGATATTAATACTGTTTTCAGGGGTAGTAACAAAAGTTGTATGTTTTTGTTGTGGAATATCTGTTAGAGATTGGGAACCAGCAGCAGACACATGGCAGCAACATGCTTTAATATCACCAACATGTTCATATATAAAACTTATAAAAGGAGAAGAATTTATTCAACAAATGGCAGCAATACAGGTAATTTTTTACATCTGCCTTGAGTGTTCTCTTTTATAAAATTATTAACATTCTCCGTTAGGCCTACGTGGTATATAAACTTAAAAAATAAAATAAAAAACCCCATATAAACAGAAGGTTTGATTTGATAAAATCAACCCCACATGACCACATCATAACAATAAATTGACAACCACAGATAATCATCAGAGAGGATTGTGCCGACTACCGACTATACATTTGTGTTAATACAAAAATGTAGTTGCCTCCCTTTGACTTAGTCTTGTATGGAAAATAAGTAGAACAACACCAGTTTTAATTTTCATATAATTCAATTTAACATAATATTGCTACATATGTTATAATATACTTTTTGAAAATATATTTCAGCAACTGGTTGAAGTTGATTCATTAGTAACAGGTTTGTAACTTTATGTTCTCTTACAACCAATAAAATAAAAACTTGTTGACCAAGATACTGTGCCATGTGGTCATTTGGGAATAGCGCGATAATTATCTTTTCAATCATTACCATATGTGTGCAAAGTGAGGACTGAAAATTTTGCCCAGACAGTAATGTTTCTGTCTACTCTTCTTTGATTTGCAACTGTCAAGGGTTCTTTTATGTGCCCCATCTTCATTAGCCCAGTCGGAGCAGAACAGTAGGACGTTAAACCCCATTTCATACTTCGTTTACGTGCACACCAATATGTGCACATGTGGACCTTAGTTTTTTGTCCTGTGCTAAAGATTCTGCATACGAGTACTTTCCATTTGAATCTTTCTGGCATCACCTCTCTAAAGCCCACATTCTAGTTGTGAGATCAGAATCCCTGAGTGTTTCTATTAAAATGGAAATCTCCCAAAATATGTTTTCAATATTTACATGTATAGATATAATTAAACCTTTGAAGATTTTGTGGGGAGGCATCTTAAATAGAAGGCTTGATCTTGCTTGAACTTTGTTATGTTGTAAAACTCTCGCTCGTTGCTTCAGGAACATGGTTGGGATTGGGCTCCATGAAATTTCTCATAAGATATTAAAATTATAATCTTTGAGCCTATATCATAGTCAGTAAACTTTACTGATCACCAAGGAAGAAGATACATTTACATATAATAACACAGAATATTTATAAATGTTTTCAAATGCTGTGGTTTGATTATGAATTTTATTTACATACTGTTTGTTTTATGTTTTACAGAGCCAGTAACATCAATAGGAGAATTAATTATACCTGATCCGTACCCTCCAACACTTAATACAACTCTACTGGCAGCTTATAGTACATGTGGGTACAACATATCTCCTACAAAATTACTTCATCTTATACAACAATTCTTTATACATACCTGTGAGTAATATAAACTCACTTTATACTGGGGACTGATTAACTCACTTTATACTGGGGACTGAGTAATATAAACTCACTTTATACTGGGGACTGAGTAGTATAAACTCACTTTATACTGGGGACTGAGTAGTATAAACTCATTTTATACTGGGGACTGAGTAATAATAAAAACTCACTTATTACTGGGGACTGAGTAATATGAACTTACTTTATACTGGAGACTGGTTATTAGTTAATTTTAGATAAAAAATAATGTTTTATAACTTACAGTCTAGAATATAACAGCCAACTTTAATTTTTTAAAACTCGCACTGACTAGAACATGACAATAACACCCATGGTTAATTTTAAGGAAAAAATAATGTTTCTAAACTTACTGTCTAGAATCTAATAGCCATATATACTGCCCGAATGTTTATAAAGTTGTTTAAAATTGTTTAGAATTTAAAAAAAGTGTGTGGTTATTACCACTGTCTAGATTAAAAACAACCATTTAGTTTTAATGACAAGCTTCTGGTTTAAAAGTGTTTTTGAGTACATCATTTAGGGTGTATTGTAATAATTTTTTTGTTTAAAACTAACTAGTAACCAGCTTCCAGTGTTACCAATGTACAACTATTCATAATTTTATTTTAAATACAACTTGTTATATATCTTTTCATGATATGATAGTTTTGATTATCTACTTCAACAAATAATTTGTTTGTTAAATAAACTACTTGAGACTTCTGGTATTGCTGTAAGTCTTAAAATTATTGTGTGAATGAAGTTAATTCAAGCTAAAATTTCAACTTAAGTCACATTTATTTTGTAACATAATTACAGGCACAATACACTCTAATGTTTCAAACAAAACCAAAATAATGGCGAAGTTGATTGATTCCTACACTATTACGAGAGAAAGAAAACTGATTAAAAATTCCTGATTTCACCCAAAATATACATGGAGGACATCTTTATTCTAATTGACTCTAATGGTGGTACAATCAAAAATGAGTGTAAAAGGTTTAATTGCAATAAGGATTTTTTATTTGAGAGGGTGCTCTCCCTATAGTGTTGAAAACAACATGATTTTTTTTTATTTGAGAGGGGGCCGCAAAAACACAAGGCAGTGCAAAAACTAGTAAATTGTTACAAAGCTCATATCTAACATGGCTACTATCAATCTCAATTGTATAAAAAGTGACTGTCAGTAGAGCTTGGTGCACATTCAGAGAGAACTCATGTTTGGTGTGTATAGAAATCTTACCCATTAAAAAGGGTGTAGATTAGTCTAGGTCATCCAGAACCTCCTTGTCTTCAACGTAATATTCAAGGAATATTAGACATTCTAATGACCATTTGTTCACCAATAGAATAATTTCTCATCATTCAGTTATATGTTACATTGAGACAACAACTATTTATTAGTTAGTATCTGATATACATATTGTTGAATCAGTTTTACAATCGTCACGTCAAAAGCATGTAGACAATTTTTTTTAATAAACCGTATTCTGTTAGATGTGGACGATTAGCCAAGGAAATGGTCAGTTTAGTCAAGCTATTTGCAAAGTGTGTATGGAATTATGGGAGACATCTATAGATAACAAAAGATAGATATAAACAGTTTACATCATTCTGTTAATGGTCACTCCTGTCCTGACCTCCATATGATGAGGAATTTTGATAAAATATAGAATATTTGTGATGTAATGATTATGTTATATTTATAGGTGGAAGATATCCAAGTGTTGACATGTTAAAAGCTGCTGTTTTAGCTGATGGTGAATTAAAGAAACATGTTGACATCATAGATCTAAAAGATGAACAGCTACAGACTAAAGACAAACAGCTAGACAACTTAGATCAGGTGATGACTGTTAAAGACCAGCATTACAAGGCTACTGTAGCTTCTCTTAACCAGCATCATAATATTATCATTGATGGTAAAGAACAACAGTACACCCAACAACTGAACCAAGCCAGTCAACAACTGAACCAAGCCAGTCAACAACTGAACCATAAAGATCAACAACTGAACCAAGCCAGTCAACAACTGAACCAAGCCAGTCAACAACTGAACCAAGCCAGTCAACAACTGAACCATAAAGATCAACAACTGAACCATAAAGATCAACAACTGAACCATTATCGCTGCACCAAACGTCAACTGAGACAACACATAAGAGAAAAAGATGACCATATTGAGAACTTGTCAAACAGACTACAGACAGCTGTTGACAGACATAAAGCAAGGGAAGATAACTTACAACAAGTACAATTTACTTTACAACAACAAATACAGACACAGATATATAGACATCAAACAGAACTAGATACACGAACAGCTCAATTACAGGCTGAAATACAGAAATATGAGGAAGAGTTATCTAATTTAGTTACTGAATTCACCAGATTGAGATCTACAGGTAATGTAACCGTTTGGGTTGGGTTTTGCTAAAATCTAAGAACGTTATGTTTCTGTTAGATGTAACCCTACAGCATTATTATCAAGTTAAATCCCCGATTTAGATCTCTTAATAACTTCCTGGTAAACATGGCTTTATTTCATTTTCACGCAAAAATATCAATAATTATAAACACACTGTACATCGAAGGGTCATTCTTTATATAAGAGAAAAATAAGCTCTCAAGGGGGTCCTGCATCAAAAATATCACTGGGGCCCTTGCACAAATAGTGAAAAGGGGGCATATTCTTATCATTGTCAGTCACACTCACGCAATTGCAATTTGTATATCGGTATGGTACATGTAGATAGATTTATTTGGCACAAACTATGGTATGGTACAAATTTTTTTTTATAACTAATCTGGGGGGATCTCTTTAATATTGGGCCTGCAGCCCGGTCAGATCCAACCTTAATCTGGCCATGAATATATGACAACAATAGAATGTACACTTACCAATGTTTTATTCATTTTGTCAAGGCCATGTTATAATTGATTAACATTACTACATCGACATGAATACGGGGGTTGGGATGGCCTAGTGGTCAAGAGTGCTGCGCTTCGACATCTAGCTGGTCGGTCACCTCTGGCTTGCAGTTGTGGTTTCGATCCCTGGTGTGAGCGTATGCACCTTGGAGATAGGGATGCCTTCTCAACCTTGTGGGTTTACTCCAGTTACTTCAGTTTCCTCCCACAGGAAAGACCCCTGCGCGTGCGCTAAGATAATAAAAATGAAAAATAAACTTGTCTGCGATATCACCTTTGGTGGAAGCTGACGCTAAACACTAAGAACAACAAGGACATGAACATCTTTAATATCACAAATTCTAGACATTGTTTTTATTAAAAGTAGGAATAAAATTAATTATTGATTATTTCATGTTTCAGTTAATAACCGAGAAAATCAACCTGACCCTGTAGCTATAAATCAACCCGACCCTGAAGTTGTAAATCCCGATAGATGTCTGATTTGTTTATCTGAAACTCGTGTTGTTTTATTTCGACCATGTAAACATGTTTGTTGTTGTACAAATTGTGCTCCTCATTTCATGGATGCACCATGTCCCGTCTGTCGTACTCATGTACAGGATTGGGAAATTGTTTTTCTTTCGTAATTAAATTATCTTTATTTATTACAGTTCCATTAAACCAGGAATCTGTTCATTATTGTTATGATATTATTTCTTAAGTTATTAGCTATCTTATTTCAAAAAACAAAAGGGCAAATAAAACATTTATTGAAGTAGGGGTGATACGGTAGATATTACCCTATACATTTATATATTTTATAAAATAAATCGAAAAAACTTGTTATCGAAATTTGTGGATATTCTGTTTAGATGTATAAAACATTTAAACCAAGATTTGGAATTAAATATTATACAAATTAGTTTCATTTGTTATGTGGAGTTCTTAAAGGCAGCAAAAATACCAATACATAGTTTTGTTTTCAAAAATTAAAAAAAGTCTTTAAAAAATATTGTATATATTATGTACATAAGATTTATTGTTGTCATCCTTATTGTCTCTTTTTATCATTTCTTAATCTCTGATATACATGTATCTTCTGAGTTTCATAGAAAGATACATATTATTAGTATACAGTATATCTTTTAAAGTTGCATATATTTATGCTTTTTTTTTCAAATTATCTAGTTTTAGATCATGTATATAAAATTCCTAGTGATATGGACAAATGAATTTCAATTTGAAGTACAATATTGTATTTATTATGCAAGGACTGTAAATAAGTATTATAATTATTCTCTTCTAGTGCTATCTCTTTTTGTCATTCAACTGTAAATAAACATTATTACTACAGTATTCTTCTTGTGCTATCTCTACCATTACTATATTCTTCTAGTGCTTTTTGTCATTCAACTGTAAATAACTATTATTACCATTTTCTTCTAGTGCTATCTTTTTATCAGTTAGCTGTAAATAAGTATCATTCACCAATTTCTTAACATTTTATTTTTTAATACTATTTTGTATTGTGTATCTTTATCACTATATACTCAAATTATTTATAAAATGTTTAATATATTTTGTAATTAATGACTGCCTATCGTTCAGGAACTATCTCTTGTACATAAAACCTAAAGCAGCTACATGTTAATGATCAGTTATCACTTCAATAAAATCAAGTTCAGAGTTTATTGTGGTATTTCCAATTTTTCATGAAAAAATAACCTTATTAGTCTCAAGAGTGTCATTTCATAAATATTGCATTTAATAAACACTGCCAGTGAAACCATGCATTTATCTAAGGACTATGTTTCTCAATATTTTTATCCCATATATTTATCAGTAAATTGCCATTTGTAAATAAGACTGAAATATGTGCATCTGTTTTAATTTCATTTAAATTGTATGTAGATTTTTTTGTTCCATTTGTATATTATTTACTATTTGATATAGATTATATTATCATTTATAAAATCACTTACTGTAATCTAGATCTATCTATTTTATTTTAACATAGATATATTTTCTCCCTATTACTATGTGCCATTTAGTCTCACTGTCTTCTTATTCTTGTTTAAAGATACAATATGTGAGATAAAGATCTGGCAGTTCTCACTATAATAGTTAAAAACTAGATAATGTAAAGGGAATTTGCTGAAAATTTCAGTCAAATTGATCCACTCTGAACCAAGATTTTAGCGATTGAATTTTCGGCCTAGTTTTGATCATCATTACTAAAGTCGGTACGATAAAAAACATAGTCTCGATTATCCATTTCATGATTAAATCATGAATGGAAGTCGAACAGCAAATCGGAACCTAATCCAATAAACATTACATGCTAGCGAGGACATCGAGAGTTGATTATGGTCTGGATAATTTAATTAATGTCTAATTAATAATTTAGATAACATTTCAGGCCTAAAGAAAGACCTGCAATAGGCAGAATTAGCTCTTGCATAATGTATGTTTAATCTTTATTCTTATACATATTTATTTTAATATAAAAATCTACCTACATAGTATAATTTCTTCTTTCTGCATTTATTCATTTTTAACATGATCCAGTTTTTTTCACAGGATACCCCAACTTAAGTTCTTAGCAATGTACATGTTAAAATTTTAATTTTAACGAAAAATCGATTTAGATAACAAGTATGTTCAAACCTTAATATTGTTGTTTATATGATTTTTTGCCCGTTATAAAGGTATTTATTTAATCAATATACACATTTTCTCCATTAACTTGATTGGGCTCTAGAACAGTTATGTTTTGGTACACAATTGTTGTATGTGCTTGTTTGGTTATTTATAAACATTTAGCATGATTGAAAATATTTTTTATCGTTTGATCAACACATGTATGTATATCACTCACATTGAGAATTTAGCAGGATATATTTACTACACACATCATCTTATTTATATATTTTTATCCTAGCCATATGTAATCTGTGCTTTTAGAAAAGATTAGTTGAAATAAAGTGGCCAATAAAAATTAAATTGATGTTTTGTTGTTTCGAGGTGCATTTTGGCAAACTGAATTATTTTGGGTGTTGTGTTTTATAAATATTTGAATATCGATTTCATTACAAATTGGGGTGTCTGCTTAGGGACAGTTGTTGTAGTTTGGATCCGAGGTTGCCTGTCTAACCTTGTTGGTTTTCTCTTGTCCTCCCACTGCTATAGACTCATATGGCCCAGCGATTGAAATAAAGAACTAAGCCGGTGTTGAGTGGATTTTAAAACCCATTTCTCTTACTTAATTAAAAAGCCCAGACATTCTGATTGTTAAGCAAAATAGTCATTTGGCTGACAAATACATGTAAATAACAGAGAAATAAGACACTTGAAATGAAATGAAATGGGGTTAACATCTTACACCAAGGCTGATGAAATGAAATGAGGTTTAACGTCCTACTGTTCTGCTCTGAAGGGGCTAATGAAGACCAGCATATGCCATACAGTGTGCTATGAGGGAAATTTTGCCCAAACAGTGGTACAACTGCCTACTCTTATATCGAATTCCAACTGCCAAGGAATCTTTTATGTGTACACAGAACCTCGGTTTATCATCCCATACAAACTACTAACTGGCTGATGAAAACAGGCATATACACTATACTGCACCACCGACAAGTGGAAACCAAACTGAAAATTCCCAAGACCCATCATTTCAGCTTTAATGATGGGTGATAAAGCTACATACCATATGCATTCAAACTGAATGGAAGTTAAAAGGCTTTTGTCTACAGAATTTGTATTGCTGTCAGAAATGGATTTTTTGCAGTGACACTTATTCAGTATCATTTTTGATTGTCAGTAATATTTATCAAGGTTGCAGACTTCATTTTTATTATAGAGTTACTTCCTGTAACGTGGGTAAAACATTTACCTGCCATAATGAATGAAACTGTTTCTATTTTTTCTCTTTTTAATAAATATGGGTCATGTGTACCTTTATAAGTGATGTGAAATTATCTGAGAAACACAATATTTTTTTTATATGGCATGAAAGTGAAAGAACACCTGTAACATCACTTCTGAGCAAACCATATTCATATTTGTAGATATGAAAAAGAAAAACAACTGTTGTAAGTTATATCTAGAGTTTATGTACATTATTCTACATAATAATCACACTTGATGGTGATAGTTGATCATAATATTTAAATACTATTTACATGATATAAACTACGAATAAGGCTGCACACACACAGACTAAATAAAAATGATAGTAAAAAAGAGTAATTCATTTCATAAATTACATTAAATTAAGGAAAAAAATGTCTCTATTACCAACTTAGCTTTGCTTGTTTTAATAAGCATGTTGGCTTGATAGACAACTCCCATATTCTTCAAGGCAGCACAATAATCACATATTGTTGATCTTATTTCTGTAATATAAGTACCTTGCCAAATAATGTTGAATTTATTCTATAGCTAAAGTGGTGAATCATTATTTAAGGAATTTTAAATCTTTTGCAAATTACACTACATTTACTGTGATAGTTAAATATCTTAAAGGCTCAATACCACTCTTGTTGTAACAGAATAATATGTCCCAATCTTTATTCTGGTCAACAAATTGTACTATTTTACAGTATTCCAATTAATTGATGATACAAATTTCATCTTAACACGCCTAATTTAAAAAAATGGAAAAATTCAACTAAATGATTTTAAAAGCCTAACGTAAACCTTTTCAAATGTGACTTGGATTTAAAAATATTTTCGAACCCTCTGGACAAGTAAAATAGGATGTAATGGATAATTTACACAACAGGTAGGACACTTAAACATTTAATACTTAGAATAAGGCTAATATTTATTTACTGGAGCTGTCAAGCCAGCAAGAGTGTTATTGTCCCTTTAAAGTACTATCAGTCCAAATATTGTTCAATTCAGTTCAGTATTTACTAAGACATAATGAACATAAAACTTGGATCCTTTCCAAATACATGTATGCAAAAGACGATCAACAACTTTAAGGGGAAATTAATGTTAGAACATACCAAGAAAATAATGTCCTCTCTCATTCATGTTGATCAATTTGTTGAAGCAGTTTAAAATAATTACAATTTTTAAAATTGAGAAAAAAACACACCATGCTTTCTTTATCTATTTTCTCTCCTATTTGATCAATAAGTTTAAAAAAAGAAACTTGGTATGAGACCACCTAGCAATATAACCGGTATAGCATTAATTAATGGCATCAAATATTATTACAGTGCTAGAGGTGTACTTCATATGAAAACAAAACAAAATGGAAATAAAATAAAACAAAACATCCCTTGCTTATTCAAAAAATAGCATATATACAGAATATATATTATAAGAATAGATTCAGTGGGCATGTTAAACACCAACTGAAAACAATAACACTACTAACATTATTTTTGATCAAAATAATTTAGTGTTTTCCATTTTATTAACACTTACACTTACGTAGCAAATCAACTGCAAGTGGGAACACTGTCCTGATTTCATTACTTACATGTTTGATTACACTACCTGCATTTCATTAAAGCTTTACATCTACATGTAAGAACTCAACACAGCTGTACTACCCTATACTGGGTCTGTATATCAGGACATTGATATTTAATAACATTGTTAAACAATGATCATCCAAGCACCTGATAATATATGGCTATAATATAATGAACAAATTGTAGGAACGATAATGGTTAATTCTGAAAAAATGATGTTTATATCTCACTGGATTTAAATGCTAAACATAGCTAAATTCTTTCTTTATAATTTGATTCATTTTTAGAGTCGAGGTAAGGTTAGAAAACATTTCATATATTTAATGGTATAAATACAGTATAAAAAGTTCTATATTCATCATGTACATTCATCCCTCTTTCTAAAAACAAACAGCACTCTTACATTAATTCTAAAGAAATTTTTGCTCAATCTTTTGTTATCAAATTTTTAATTTCCACAAAATTTAGTCATGTCTTTTGTTTTCATTTCATTCATCCATCAATTACTGTATGAAAAGTTCATACATGTCAATATACATGTATTCAAGTTTTATTTACCAAATTTTATAGATAAATAAAAATAACAATGCATTTAAATTCCAACACATTTCTAAAATAGTAAATGTACATAAAATTGCTTTCTGGAAATTTAAAGGAACAATATTTGACCCAATCTTCAATTATTTTTTAATATGTGTACATCCATGAATTCAGAAATACAATTTCAATTCATTAACAGACATTAATTGTATATCTAGATAAACAAAATTCAAATCAATTGTGGCTACACGATTTCAAATATTAACCAATCAGACAGAACTAATCCTATGTAAATGAAATTTGGTTGATGGACAGCTAAGAATCTGTAGATGATGCATAAATGAGTTTACATGTCGATCAACCATCGGTTAATCTGTATCAGAATTAATTAGTCTCCATAATGTATGGGATACAAATTAAACTTTTGGATTCTTATATTACATGGATTCATTAAACACATAATTTACAGGTATGTACATCACATATATCTAACCTAAAACACTACTATCGTGAATATATATTAATATGTGCATGGATATTGTGATTATTAGACAATCATCTTCAGCAGTACAGTGCATACTCTAATAAAATTTCGTGATGTAAATCTCCTTGTCCATTTTTATAATCTTATAACTTTCAACTGTTGAACCTATTCTTTTAGTCACTTATATGTTGCACGACTGTGTACATACAGGTATGAATATCTTCAAATATAAAAACAGTTTTATAAAACTCATCAATGGTAAGTAGCATTAAGCAGGTTACAACTGCTGACTAGTCTTGTTATTCCTCCACTGAATCGTACTTATATCTAAAAACAAAGTTTTAGACCAAGTGATTGGGAAAACCTTTTCATTTCCACACATGAATTCTTCAGTATTTTCCCGATATACATTTTAGGTACATGTACAATGTATGAATAAATGGCTATGGTTTGAGAATTCCGGCTGTATTTCATTCCATATTTCTTTAATGACATCACTAACCACACTTGGGTCTTACAGGAACAACCACTGGGCCCCGTTCTTTCTGTCTTCTTTTTTTATAATAAATAATAGGCCGTAATCCTAAATTTACTAACATCACCGTGATGTAATTAGCTTTTTATTAGCTTTGTCAAGTTTCTTTTTATGTTTGACTTGGAATTTATTAACGTATCCCTCCACTAAAAGTTTCACTTTCATTGGGTTCACATCCTTTGCTTTACTGTGACAGATCTGATAATAAAGGTAAACAAACAAAAATTAAGATAAAACTTTCAAAAAGATAGTTGGATTCTTGTAACCTCGATTGACGGGCGGACTGACACTTCAATTTTCAGGAGATTCACAAGATTCCACAAAGTGGTCTAGGGCAGAAATTCTGGATGTGATGATCAGAAATCATTGAAATTTAATGTGCACAAAGCAAACAAATTTGAAATATATAGGATAATTCTGATTACTAGACAGACAAAGTTGTGCGGATATTTTATCAAGAAATTAATTAATTCAATCACTGATTTTTTTTTTTTCTTTTCAGAAAAAGTGAAAGAATCATGTTAGTTTTGGGTGAAAAAACTTAAAAGCCAGTGTGGGCCTTGGCCCCGGTTTCACAAAACATTCTCAGACTTAAGTTAAGAATTTACTCAAAATCGTTGCCTTATTTAAACTAAAAAATAGCCCTTTACAAAAATATTTGTTGTTTTAATGTATCAATAGGAAATGAAATGAAATGAGGTTTAATTAACGTCCTACTGTACTGCTCCGACTGGAATGATTAAGACGGGCATACACCACACAATGTGCTATAAGGGAAATTTTTCCTGGACAGTGACGCTGCAGCCTACTCTTGTATCGAATTCTAACTTTTACTGGCACGCCAATGTGTACACAGTACCTCAGTTTTTTGTCGTTGTCCCTTGCCAGACACTCCTTCCTGCACCACTGACGAGGGAAAACCATGCCAGAAAATCCCAAGAAACTTTTTCGGCCAATGCAGGGATCGAACACGGGACTTCCAGGATAGTGCAATAACGTGGCTCCACATCAATTAGAAACTATGTTCAAATATTTGTGTTTCTGGATCAAGGATATTCCTCACAACAAGTGATTGAAAGTTGAGTAAATTCTTAACCTTAATTTTAGAATGCTTTATGAAATCGTGGCCTGATATCAATGCTTAGAATGTAGTTATCAGATTGGTTTCAAGCACACGCCCATACCCAAACTGGTCTCACAGTGAATCTGGTCATTCCAATTCCTCCGCGCTATGACAATGGGGCCGCCTCCAGAACATTATTATCAATATCCACTGTTTAACAGTGCTGGGTATTGCCACTGCAGTCACAATACGATAGATATTGCGATTCAGGTGCTACAATACGATTCGTATCATGATTCATAACCAGGTCAATATTTAACAAGAAAACGACAGGATAGATGAATAATCGATATTTTTTGTCTGACCGATGTCGTAGAAATTAAACTGTTTTATATCATGATATTGATGTGGATCAAAATAAGGACCAAAAGAATTTAAGAGTATTTGTGTTCCTATGGATAATGTGTTGCATGGATAATTAAAAGTGACAGGTTACTTACTGAAGTGACAAAAAACATAAAAAAGAATCATGAAAAATCGATTCAGTGTCTTGCGATCCAATGTGCGACGGTCAATTGTGATACATCAATTCAACAATATATCGTGCCATCACTACTGTTCAACCCATTTTTTTACCATAGGTAGTCGCTATGACTAACCGCATGTGAGCTTTGTACAGACAAGACATTACGCCATAGTGAGCTAAAATGTCAAATTCTTATATATTAGGCTACATCAAAACTTATATACATGTAGTATATCGACAATGGGACTGGTGCATACTTGTAAATATGTATACTATATATTTTCGGATATACAAAATGTTTGTGTACATATTTTTGGGTGTCTATTATTACCTTTGGCACAGCTTTGCGCAAAATTTCTTTATATTCTTCTTTAGAGATCTTCTTACTGCTATAAAATGGTTTTATAGCGAGTTTAACCTCCTCCACAACCCGTTCTTGTAGATGTAATTTACGAACATACTGTAAAGACATAGTTCTGGGGTCAAGAGATTTTTTCGAATTGGATTTCTGAAAGAAAATGGTTTGAAACAACCTGGTAAGTTGACTAAAGAACAAAGAAAACATGCAGATAGAGAAAGCAACAAACAACAACAAGCAAAGCCAAACAAAGCCGAGCAATTATGACCAGGCAACCAAAGCACAGCAAAACATGAGACAAACAAAGCCAAGCAAAAGATTTCTAAAGTACATGTAAAAGGAGATCATTCCACAGTAATTCAGATTAAATATGGTAAACAGTATAGACTATGACAATAGTCTTGACTGGTCTACATTTAACATGCATGCAATTCATTGACCTCAATGACACTCAATGAAGAGACAAGTTAACAAACCAGTTCTGATTTATTTAGAAAGATAATAATCATATATTATTAGGTACCTACATGTATCGGTTGATAATTTTGTTTGTGTCTTTAAGTGGCATTTAGCGATTGGGAAACACATAAATATTACACAATTTTTATGGGAAACAATTACTGGTTTTATTCTAAAAGCACAATGTTTCGACAAGTATATGTATACTCTTATCACTATTGTGCTTGATAATGATAAGATGATACTTCAATAAAACCAGTGATTGTTTCCCATAAAAATTGTGTTCTGTTAAGTTTAGAAGTGGCATTAACTTCTGAAATGTCAACATGGTACAAAGATTCTCAAATACCTAATACATGTTTAAGAAAACGTAATTAAGTGGACCATTAAGCATGTGTATTTTATTTAAGTGGACCATTAAGCATGCATACGTATATAATTTAAGTGGAACATTGGGCATGTGTATTTTATTTAGGTGGAACATTAAGTAAGTGTATTTCATTCAATTGGAGCATGTGTATTGGAATTAAGTGGAGAGAGAGAAATGGGGTTTAACGTCCACTCGCCACAAACTATGTCATTTCGGGACTAACATATGGTTTAATTTTATTTACATAATTCGCTTGCGCGTAGGGGTCTTTAGCAGTGCGAGGAAACCCACGAGGTTGGACAGGCGAAGATGAAGATGATACATGTGTATTTTTTCTGAAGGTTAATTGCACCAGAAGACAGTGCCATTTTCTTAATTTAAATTTAACTAAAATAAGAGTTGAAATTCTTTTTTTTTTTTTTTTTTAGATAGCAATCTAAAGGATTAAATAAAAAAAAATATAGGTTAGATGCCCACTTGACCTAGATGTTCAGATAGAATTGAGTTATAAGTCTTGGTCGATCAATTTTATAAACTTTTGAATAATTATACTTTCTCATAAACACACACATACTTTCTAATATTTATGGTCTGAAAGTCTGTTTATTACTGTGCATTTAAAGATACATCGGCTTATTGTCTGCCAGTTTGACTTAGGGAGCGGTTATTTCTAGATCGAATGATTAAGCGGTTTTGTGAACATTGAGGGGTTTAAATGTACAATAGACTCTGCAATTAAATGGCAGAGAGAGCAGTTGACAGAAGATATTCCAAGAATTTACTTAGGCTTCAATTTGTATGGTAAATTGAGAGTAAGTAACGACAAATACATTATGAAAATGGGCCATCCCTCAATCAAGTTACTTGATAACCATAGCTTCTAAAAATAGATTTTTTTATATCTTAGGATATTTCCTTTCGAATACAATGTTTTAAGAGGGATTTGAAACAAATTTTTGTTAAATTATTTAGAATATATTTTCGGACAAATATATCATCAAATCACCTAGTTTGTACATGTAACTTTAAGAATATGTAAAATCTAAATTTTAAGAATATGTAAAATCTAAATTTTAAGAATATGTAAAATCTAAATTTTAAGAATATGTAAAATCTAAATTTTAAGAATATGTAAAATCTAAATTTTAAGAATATGTAAAATCTAAATTTTAAGAATAAATTATAAGAATAATGTAAAATCTAAATTTTAAAAATATGTAAAATCTAAATTTTAAAATATGTAAAATCTAAATTTTAAAAATATGTGAAATCTAAATTTTAAGAATACCGGTATGATAAATCTAAATCTTCAGAATATAGCAAATCTAAATTTTAAGGCAACTTTAAAGATAATCTAACGCAAAATTGAAATTTCATGTACAAAATATCTACATGAATTTAAATTGAAAGTAAGGGTGTGACGATTAGTCGGTTTAGTCGGAGTCGGTTCGGTTTTACCTACAAACCGGTTCAAGTTTCGGGAAATCGATAGTCTTCTAAAAAATACAGCATGATATAAACCTGTCGCCCGAATATTATAACGTTTTTTTTTTTTAAAAAGATACATGTATTAACGATCGACATTTATGGGGGCGAATATGCAATAAGCTTCATCATTGATAAATGGTCGACAATAATAATAACGAGACAGTATATACTATATTCAGTAATCGGTCGTGGATATTCTCGCGATTACAAGCGAGTGTGTTTTTGCATACCTAATGAAGTTATTTTAAGAATACGTTATTTGATTGGTCCGTCGCTAAGGTCAATGGTTGAAGTGCCCAATCAGAAACAAGCAATCCTCCAGGTTAGGTCAATAGGCATGCGCACTGAGCTGATGCCCAGATACGCTTTCTCGTAGGTTTATCACTAATATTGATCAATACGTTATTGTTTGAAGTTTTTTATATGTTGTATTTATTACTTTTATTAAAAAGGTTAAACAGGAGATTTGAACAAACTACATAGTACAAACAAAACCAAATTTTTTTAATGTACTGGACACATAAAACATAGAACTGTATGTATGTCGCCATCACAGTTTTAAGCTCCGTATATAAACTAATAAAGGCCAGTATATTAGCGTATATTGTAGACTATGGAAGACTAATATTTTTCAGTTAGTTTTTATTACCAACTAAACCGAATCGGTTCGGTTTTTTAGCCGCCGACTAACCGGTTCAAGTTTTGCTTAGTTGTCACACCCTTAATTGAAAGAAGTAAAGGCCTAGTCAAATATCAAATGAAAGGATGGAAAAGGTTTAATATAAATTGTTATTACCTGTAATTGAAAGTAGAATAGTTTAATATAATTTAAGGGCATTGAGTAGTCTAAATGAAATGAAATGTGGTTTAACGTCCTATTGTTCTGCTCCGACTAAGTAGACACTCTATAATTTTTCATATCTTATGAACAAAACTTTAAAATGTGCATTTTAGAGTACTCAACACCCTTAAGTTAAGAGTGAAAAAACCTAGCTCTACTATTATAAATTGAAGAAGACAAAGTTTAACATTAAACCGAAAACAAATTAGCAGTGGAAAATCTAGTATATATTGAAAAGTGGTAAATCTAATTGAAAGTTTAAAATCTACTAATACAAATTAAAGGTTTAAAATCTAATACAAATTGAAAGTTTAAAATCTAACACAAATTAAAAGCGAAAGAGAAGCTGGTTATATTAATACTAATCTTACCAGGTGAATCAAACACCACACACAAACCACACAATACTACAACATACTTAAAAACAGTTTAAAAATGGACCAATAATTAAGGTCAGTCTACACAAGTTTTCATATGTACGTTTGTAACATACATGTACTGTAGTGTAGACTGGTCTTAAGTGGTAAACGCAACACAATGTTCACTGTGACAAGCTGGATATCTGCACTGTTTAGTAAAGAATAAAGGATGGGAAACAAACATAATATAACAAACAGTCTGCGAAATGTTGTAAGCTTACATAGTATACATGCTTCAATATACTCAAATAGCTATAACTGGAAATACAATGTACATGTACACCAAACAGTAGAGTTGAAATGGTTTGTGGCATTTGCTACCCAAGTACCACTGGACTTAACCTGGGGAATACTTAAGTAACTTTTGCATCTTGCAGCATGTTTATAGCTGAGAGTTGAATGAGAAGACTTTGTATGGTACTTATTTTTCAAAATATTAACAGCAATTGTTACTCATTTGTAGTTAATGTTGATTCAAATATATCCCAGTGGACAAGGCATAAAGTTATTTTGCAAGACACTGACAGTCGACTATCAAAGGGTACCCGGGTATCAAAACATATTTTGATCAAATTAACCTTCAATGGGTAGCCTACTCTGGTAACCTTTTCAACACTACCAAACAAGTTAGCAAATAATCAATTTTTTTAATATTACATGTATTTTTTTTACTAGCTGTATGTGGTTTTGAATAATTATTACAGAATCAACTTCATAAATAGATTTTAATATCACCTTTTGCTTCTTAACCAAGTCCATAGCTGACGAAGGAAATTCGTCAAATCCTCTTCTTGAAGCATCATGTCGTTTCTTGGTCTTGGGTGAAGGAGGTAGTTGAAGCTCACATTCATCATCAGATGGAGATGATACATCACTGCTGTCCATATCAATATCCATATCAACGACTTCCAATGTTTCTGATTTACTGTCTGGTGGATCAGGAATCTTGAATATTCCTCCAGTTTTAGGATCTGGTCGTATACCAGCAAGGCGAGCTTGGGTGTTGAGTAGACGATTAATTTCTGCAAGTTGGTTGAATCTTGGTTTACTTCCTATGGATCCAGGGGGCGGCATCAGCGATGAACTATTCTGGGAAAGGGGAGGAAAGGGCAGTGAAGAAATTAAGCTGGTGGATGAAGATGGTCTTTTGGAATCAAATCGGGATCCATTTAAAAAGTCACTACTAGTATTAGAAAGCCTTTGGTTAACACTTGGAGGAACTCCTGTTCGGAATGGGAAGGAAAGATCTGGAGATTGAACTGTGGGGAAAACTTGCCCAACTGGAGGAGGGGGCTGACTTAGAATTAGCGGATTTAATAGACTTGTGGATTGAGAAATTGCAGGGGGTGGTACTGGTGGTACTGGCTGTATTTTTGTTTCACTAGGCTTAACGATGGCAATGGGTGATTTTTCGACAGAGGTGATAACAACTGGTTCTGGATCTGTTATGGATTTAGATACTGGTTTGGTCGGGTTAACTAAAAGAATGGATGTGGTTGGTTCAGGTGGGGATTTGGATTTACTAACTGAATCAGATAGAGTGGATTTTGGCGATGATACTTCTTCAGCTGAATCAACTGTTTTATCTGGTACAGGCGAAGCATCAGTCTGTTTTGGAGATGGTGGACGTATTGGTGACATATAGAGAGGAGATATGCGAACTGGACTTGGAGACAATGCTGGTGAAGCCTCGGGTGATTTTGCTAACTTGAACTCATCGTCGGTTGGATGTGCAGGGTCATAATCAGATGGATCATCCGAAATATTTCCTAAACCAATGCTTTCATTTTCAGAAGATGGAGATGGGGGTGATGATGGGATAGCTGGTTCATTAATACTCAAAGGTGTTGGTGAAGCACCAGGTGAAACTGCTGCAGATAGATCAGGAACTTCAGGAACTTCAGGAACCTCAGGCACCTCAGGCTCTTCATCATCATCTTCATCATCTATTTCGATTTCAACTGGTTCAAATTCACCAACAAGAAGAGAATCACCCTCTACACTTTTAAAAGTCATTCCAGGAGGAACAGGGGGTCCTTTTACTTTTTTACTTTTCTTACCCTTTCCTTTGCCTTTACCCTTACCTTTGCCCTTTTTCTTTGTTACGGTTTCATTGCTCTTCTTTTTACTTGCTGATTTTTCAACCACCATTTCATCGTGATTTTCTTTGTCCCGTTCATCATCAACAGCTGGAACGGGTATAGGTGAACGAGACCATGATCTGTTTTCAACAACTCTTCTATCTTTCTTGCTTCTTTCTGTACTAACGTCACGTTCCTTGCTCTTTTCCCGCCGCCGTTTCTTGGATTTATTGGATCGAGACCTCTCTGTGTCCTCTTCTCTTCCACGTGCTTTTTCCTTTGTAGATTTGTCTCTCCTTCTCTCTTGAATAGGGGATTCTTCTCTGAGGGGGGATGTTTCACTTTCCTCTTCCCTCACAGGAGATCCATCATAATCAACAACAGATCTGTTCCAATCGAGTTCAACTATAGGCGATCTCTTCCTATGATCCCAAAATGGTGATTGTTCCTTTGACACTGATTTCTCACGTCTTTTGCGCTTTGATCGTTCATGTCTATCTCGTGATCTAGATCTGTGATGATCCTTGGAACTAGATTGTACATGTCGTCTATGAGATTTAGAGTTCGAACGACTTCGTGAACGAGATGCAGTGGGAGATCTGTGTCTATGTTTCCGTCGCGAGGAATCACGTTCTGAACGAGATCGCTCTTCATGTCGACTATGGGTTTTTTCATGTCTTTCCTCCCTATCACTCCGTCGACTGTCTCGTCTACTATGTTTAGAGGGTTCACTATATCTATCCTTTTCACTACGCGACTTTTTGCCATCCAACATATCCAAACGAGATAAAACTGAACGTGAATATTCACCTGAGTTGTAAGGTTTATTTTGTTTTCGCGGGGATTTATGGTTTGAAGATTTTCTAGAATCTTTTTCTCGTCGCTCTGTACTATGTTCACGTCGTCGCCGATGTTCGGAATCTCTCACTCGCTCGTCATTGCTTGCTTCGCGACGATGACTCCGATCGGAGTCTCTTACTCTTTCTTCATAGCTTCTTTCCCGGTGGCGATGACGTCGTTCTGAGTCTTTTGCTCTAAATTCATGGCTAGATTCACGATGTCTGTGTCTTCTACGCTTGGACTTACCATCGCGAGATCGCACTTCACCCTCTTCCCCAGTGTCAGAACTACTAGAACTACTACTAGAATCACTATCACTATTTTCACGATGTTTACGATAAACACGTTTGGCTTTTTTATCACGATCCAACATTTCACCGATTGATATCGTCTTGTCTTTCCGATGACTAGGACTTGACTCCTTATTCCTTTTCTCCATCTCAGCTTTTTCCTTTTCTTTCATTAATTCCCTTATTACTTGACGTGCATCGAACTGAATTGATGTTACAACTTCTTCTTGTTCGACCGGTTTAGCAACTGTTTTAATCAATTCAAAATCAGCCTGTAGCTCTTCTTCATTGTTTTCAGTTTCCGAAAATTCAGCGTAATTGAGTTCTGCACACGGTGAACCATACATTGAATCTATATCTTCTAAATCCAGATCTGAATTTTCATTTTCTCCAATTTCATCAACCACTTCCATTCCAGTCATTGAGTCTTCAGAGTCTTCACATTTCTCAGGTGCAGATTTCAGTTGCTCTGTTTCTTTCTCAGATTCTCCTTTTTCTTTCTCAAATTCTCCATTTTCTTCCTCAGATTCTATTTTGTCCTTGTCTAACTTTATCTTTTCTTTATCATTGCTTTTTTTAGATTTTCTATTTCCTGTCCACACATTCATTATTTCCGAATCGAACTCAGTTTCACTGTCAGTGTAAGGATCATCTCTTTCATTTGCATATCTCTGATGATCGATTTTGGAAATGTTGTCCTTTTCTTTTGTTAATTTATCACTATCTTTCATAACAATTCGCACATCTCCATCTGTAGGTGACATATCTTTGGCTTTCCTGTCCATAATTTTAATCAGTAGATCTTCTGTCTTCTTTTTAATATCGATATCACTGTCATTCTTTGTATCTTTAATCTCAAGACTGTTTTTTTCAGAAAAAGCTTTGGGGTTGCTTTCTTTATCTTCCACAGGCTTGTTATCTGGTTGTTTCACAGGTTCATCTTGGTCAACAGCTCCACCTGGCATACTCAGAGTTATCCTTCCTATTCTCTCAACACTACTGCTCAATGTTGGAGGTTTAACCACTTTGGTGGTGCTTAGAGTTCCTAGAATGACAAAAGTGTAGAACTGAGATAAAGTCAGAAACTATTTGTTACGACAACATTGCTCTATGTTAGGAAATTGTATTGTAATAATCTTCTGCACTAAACATTTGTTTTTGTCAAAATGACAATATGATCACTGTGCATTCAGTAAGGTTAAGTAAAGCCATTTTTCGATCTGATGAAAATACCTAGGGAGCTCGAACAATAGTCTGGAACGGTCAGGGAGCCACGTTGGCTAAGTGGGTAAAACGCTGGCTCACTAGCTTGGAGGTCGCGTGTGGGATCCCTGCATTGGCCGAGAAAGTGCATCAGGATTTTCCGATGTGGTTTCCCCTTGTCATTGGTGCAGGACGGAGGGTTGGACAAGGACAACTGTCTAGTTGTTCGGTTGGGACAAAAAACTGAGATCCCATGTATACACTGGCGTGCACGTAAAAGATCTAAGAGTAGGCCACAGTGCTGCTGCCTGGGCAAAATTTTACTCATAGCACACTGTATGGCGTTATGCCCGTCTTCATTACCCCAGTATAGGAGCAGAACAGTAGGGCATTTAAACCCCATTTTATTTCATTTCTGTAACGGTTAGAATTGATGTAAATTGCAATAAAATTACACAAGACTTGACAAAAAAATGAGTTCTGGCAGAGTTTTGTCTGTCCAAATAACAGATGTGGTGTGGTTAGAGTATGACATTATCAAGCTTTATCTGCCATGGTGATTGGCAGAGGCAGAATTTTATTTAGCTTCAATTGCAACAGTTCAATTCTGGAACGACAGATCAAGTATCAACAGTATGAATAAATAGAAGTTGTCTTATGTTAGATCCCATTCAGCAAATCATGTGAGGAAATAAATAGTCAAGTTAACACTGATCTAATAGCTCACTGAATAAAATTGTTTTGTCACATGTTCCACGAAAGATGGTTCATGAACTGAAACATTTCTTTGGTCGATGGAGATGGTCAATACACTTGAGATGTATATATAAAATTATTAATATTCTGGTGAAAATAAGCAAAGATAACTTACCATCTCTATTTATAGTTACATCTTTACTATGTAAATGAAGCTTGCCCTGATCCTGCATAATGGAACCGAGAATATCAAAAGGTGCACCACGATGTAATCCTAAAGCTGGTTTACTTGGTGCTGGTGGCACAACTGCCGGCTGCTGATTTGGAATGGGTTTTCTGTAATCAATAAATAAATTTCAAAACTAATCAATGACTAAATTGTATGATATACAAAAGAACAGATCTTTGTTGACATTGTGAACTGTTTAGGTTTCGGAAGCTGAAACAACTGCGTAGACAATTCATGACAAATAAGTACAAATTGATTTTCTTGTGATCAACACCTCTTAAATTAAATTATTTGTGGGACCAAGTTCATGTGTAATGTAAAATTGTTGGGGTTAAACTAGTAAATTGACTGGCAGCAAGACTTGAAATCTACTTAAAGGAGCTAAATCGCTAACATTTGGGACCTAGAAATTGACACAATTGGGTCGCAACGCATATAATACTGTAATATGAATGTATATAAACTGATTTACATTCAATGGTTTCCGTTTTTACTCTAATTTCAAATCAGTTATGTTTGGCGAAATAAGCCAGCAGTCTCAATCGAATGCAAATTTCTAGCGTCTGGTTATTCCAGTCTACATAAGAATATGGCGGCCCCGGTTGATTTGGTGCAATGTGTCGAGTCTCTTGTTACAAATGGCGCTGAAACGCATTATGGTACACGATTCGTGTACCAATGGTAAAATGTTTATTTTGTCTTAAATATTGGATATCAGAACCCCATCTTTTTCCGGTAAGATCACAGCATCAATGTTGATTTAAATTGACAAATAATTCGTGTTTTCAATGTTGAAGATTTTGGATGATATTGAGTTAGAGACTTAGCTACTTTAAAACCAGAATTATCATTAAAAAATTGACACGTTGCTCTATCAAATGGATTTAAACTAACCGCCTAAGAACTGAAGTTGGAAGTCGAACTGGACGATGGGATAATAACGCCGATTTAGAATATTTGGGTTGAGATGTTGAAGTAGTTGAGGCACTAGGTACAGCTCCGACAGTAGGAACTTCATTCATGTCATCACTGGAAAAAAACATACAGAAAATATCATTAATTTTTAAAGAATTAATACATTTTTATTACTCAGCATTTTAAAGAGTTTCTATTTAATTAACTTTGAAAAATCAACAGATTGATGAATTGCCCCACAAAAATAAAATATATTTTAGGTTTTTTTCAAGAAAATCTCAGACTAGTGCTACTTGTGATGTCAACTTACTCCGGAAATTCTATCAAATCATCTTTATGTCCTAATATAGATAAATTTGATGCGCCAGTTTCTGGTCTCTTTTCGTCAAAAGATTTATCGCCTGTTTTTTTCTGTAGAGGTATGGTACGACCAACAGGGGGTTTAGATAATCCCAAAGTGTGGGCAATTCGACCTTTCACACTTGCAGACGTTGTAGTAAACCTTTTCAGATCACTTGCCCTTCGAACCTGAATAAAAATAAATATAAATGTAGCTGTATAAAAATTGTCTTAAATCAACTGACGATTTATGATTGTCAATAACAATTAATTAAATTGAAAATGGTCAATTGGCTCAAAATTGAGCCTATGGTCAACACTGATTTCAACAGGAAACATTAAAAAGAGTTGCATCCCTTCACAAAAGAAATGGGAACACATATAATCCATAATCTTGTGTGCTTTTAAAAAAATAAACACGGGTCATGGGAACAGGACCTTTGCCTGCGGGACATCTGATTGCGGACAACTGCCAACGACATGATGGCCTGTGGAATTGGTGGCGGAGTTAGTGGTTTTCCTACAGTATTCCTGAAACGTCTTATAGCACAGTTGAGGTGTCTTCTAATTGGTGGAAGCTGTGCAACTGTGCCTTTAGGTAGATTAACGATCGCAGCAGTGACAATTTGTTGTACACTTTCTAGAGTTCCAGTTACCTGTATCTTTATGGTATTTTTCACGTCATGGGTCACTAGAATGAGAGTGTTCATTTAAGGACTGCATGACCATATCTCCCTGGATCTTTACATTGGCCTTGCATTTACTATGTCTGCGTTTCGTTATTATGTTTTGATAATGATTACATGTATGGATACATTATAGTGCTCATTCATCAATTTATAAACTATAAGGCTCATTTATCATTTAATATGGCTCATTTATCACGTAATATGGCTCATTTATCATTTAATACGGCTCATTTATCATTTAATACGGCTCATTTATCATTTAATAAACTATACTAAACAGAACAAATAAAATCACTTGCAATAAAATCAACAGACTATACTATTACTAAAACAAAAAATAATAAAATGATTGGCAGTTTTGTCTTCGCAATCCACGGGTCATGTGGTCCTCTATATAACTCTACTTTATCTAAGAACCAGAATATATTTTCATACGGTTTAACTACTAACTTATTCTTCTTGTTCAAAAATTATTGTTTTAAATCATAAAAATCTTTATTTCAAGGAAGTAAAAGAGCAAACTCGACTCAAATTTATAAATATAAATTCATGCTTTATAAAATAATCTAAGGGAAAGAGAAAAGCAATAATCTTATTTTAAGCTGAATCATGATTTTGGTAGAAATAAGACTTACCTGATAATTTCCTGCCGAATCTGGTGTACTAACAGAGGTTGTCTAGCAAAGAAAATACAAAATATTTTGAATTCAAACTTGTTTCTTATAGTAAAATCATATATAGTTATCTTCAGTCTGAATAAACCAAATATAACCAAGGTGGTTCCCAACCTTTTGTTGTCTGCGACCCCATTCCAGAAACCACCATCTGATCACAACCCCTCAAAGAACAGTCATTTTTTACTATAAAACGTCATCATTATTTACATTTATTATCGATTTACTTATTTTACAACTTTTTACACTTTTTTAAAAATTGAGGAAAGACGATTGGCAATGTGGCAAGAGATGTATAGATCAGAGATTTATGTTTTTCATTAAAAACAGCCTTTTTTCAAATGTTTCATAGTCCACCACAACCCCACAAAAAGTGCTTGGTGGCCCAGTGCTTGGGAACCCATGGGGAACTCAACATCTGGCATATAAGATATTATAAAGGAAGTAGCTATACACAAGAATGTCCAGTCTCTTAGATTACATTATGAAGACATGTGCCAGATGATTGACACAATTATCTATTTCATTACCCAATGAAAAAGTTGATGAAAGTATTACCTGTACTACAGTGATGTTAATTGGTTATATTGATTCACTGAGAAGTAAGAACGGATATCAAAAAAATATTCCAGAGGTTCAGAAATTAGTTTGAAACCGATGGAGACAATAAATTTCAGTAGCCCAATGCACCATGGTTTGTTCCAATAAAATATATAAATTTCACTGAATAAAGAATTTAGATAATTTATCTTTGGTGTGCATTGATATCAAGCAAATAAAATTACTGAATCTATTTCAAAGAAGAATTATAGATTTTCAACCTTTTTAGTTTTCTTCTTAGTTTTCCTTTTATATTTTCTTTTCTTTCCTTTTCCTGTTTTACGTTTTGTTGTTTTGCGTTTCTTCCTTCTCTTGGTTGTTTTGGTTGACTTAGTTTTTCTCTTTGTTGTTTTTCTCTTGGTTTTGCGTTTCTTGGTTGGCGTTTTCCTTTTTTTCACTGGTGATGTGGTGGTGGATGCAGTGGCTTCTGTTTGGGATTTGCTCAGTATGGATGTGCTAGAACCTTCTGCAGCATCTCCCTCCATTATTTGTTCTTCTTTTTCTTCGTCTTCTTCTTCCTCCTCATCATCTTCCTCCTCCTGAAATTATCAATCCAAAATATACCATATTTGATGTAATGGCAACAGGAGCTTTAGCATATTGAATCCAAAATTTACAAATGATATTATTATTCCTTATTGAACTGAAATCACACTGGATCACACAACACAACACCTGAGGCAGTACGAAGGGTGAAGCTCGGAAATTGAACTCTGTTTAATGATATATTCATTTTCTAGCTTTTAATTCAAACTTTTTCTAGCTTTCAATTCCAAGAAACTGTTGTCGAACCCCTGACTACAAAGACACATATCCATGAAACGAAACAATGTTTGGATACATAACTTACCTCTGATGACGTCCAGAGTCCATTTCGCTCAGCTCGGTGGCGCTGTATTCTTGCTCGGACAACTTCACTAGCACGCGTTCTAGCGATACGACGTTGATATCGTAATCTTCGCTGAGTTGTTAATTCATCAGCAACTTCAGCATCTGGCAAGACAAAATGTCATTAATTATGCAATATTTTATACAGTAGTGCAATTCAAATTACTGAATAAATAAGAATCTCATCAACTATAATGCAGGACATGATTATTACTTGCTTTTGTCTTATGTTGAAAAACTGGATTGATAGATGCCACACTAAATTTGATAAAGAAAGACTGGTCTTTCAAAGAAATATTTTATTGATAATCTAAAATCATCTTTGCAGATCCACAGTCATTGTTGTTTGTATTTTAGAGGAGAGCAGAAAAAAGCTCCCCTTAATGACCAAATTGAAAAAATCACTCCCCTAAAAGAGATCTCCCATTTAGAATTTAAGGAGAGTGATCTGATATTAAGGAGAGTGATTAGTTGGATGTATGAGAAATGGTTCTGAAGATCAATAATTGCATGTTAGGGGTCATTCCTGGTTACATAAATGATAATAAACATTGTCTGCTAAATAATGGCACTCATATGGTCATGTCAGGGCTCAAACTAGGGACAAATTTTAGGGAGAAGTGACTTCTCCCTACAGACAGAATAGGGAGAAGTGAGGGAGACATAGGGAGACTTGAAGGAGAGGTCATATTTCATGCATTGCTGCAACCAATCTTACCAAGTCGTTACACAGTCAATATGCTAAATAAATAAACAAACATCGTTTAGCTGCACACGTATATTTATTTCAGTACATGTCATCATACTCTTACTGGTATCAAAATTACTGTGATAATAATTACATATACTATGTACTAGTACTAAGACAGACTTGACTTTAGCAATACAAATAAGATTTGTGATACCCCTCTATCAAATACATCAATATTTATACCCTTTCGTGCCTAAATACATTTAATTACTAGTCCTGGGTCTATTGTGTGATTGTTTTAGCACCTTTCACAATAGCCTTCAATAGGATAGTCATATTGTTACGTAGTACGACAATGTTATGTATGAAATTATTCTTTTGACACACCACTCACTTACCTTCTTTGTTTTACGTTTATGTGTTTAGATTAGTGGAACTAATACAATTGACGTAGATTTAATTATCGACCCGACATTATACCTATCAACACATTCTAAATACATGTTGTAATCATTCTGATAACAATTGTTTTAATATCTCCATTCGTCTACAGAAATGTACGTCAACGCTATTTTCACTCGTCACATGTGTTGTTCTTTATTGACTGTACCATGTTGACACAACAATGTACACCTTTCGTTACCTTTCAATCACAAGTTTTATGTTTATTATTCTTTTTATTATTAAATTATTTCAAAGAAAGAGGACCAATTCAGTAGGCTACTGTGTCTATTCTTAGACAGAAATACATGAAAAATATCGTATCCGCCGCCATATTGGCCATCGCAGCTTTTGATTGGCTGTTATTTCTGGACGAAGCCAGAGGTTGTAACGGAGATTTATGATTCGATTCCTTCGCTTTATTTGAAAGAATTGTATTTCCTGTTGACATCAAATACAATGTTTATCATTGAAACTATTAAACATTATCACAGCCAACACAGACAAAGTCGAAAAACAAAATATTAATACATGTTTTGCTTTTCACAACTTGTTTAATTTTCAGTTTTCCTTTCGAAGCTCACAATGCGAACACGTGTTGTGTTGTTTTGAAAATGCTTTGTTTACCGTTGATATCGATGCCTGTTACCTACTTCGCCCTTGCACAAATGTACGGCGAAGTGAGGGCGACTTCAACTTCGCCCTATTGCCTTTTAGGGCGAAGTCATCAATGGGTTAGGCGACTATTTCGCCCACGTCGCCCGCTAATTCGAGCCCTGGGTCATGTCAAACTTTTGCTATCGTCTAAAACTACTTACAGTATTTCAACTTGTCGACATTTCTTAATATAAATAGCTTGTATAAATTTTGTTTAAAAACATAAGCCCTATTCTAAATATAATCATAAATGCTCGAAAATTCCATCAAAATAGAATCTATTTCTTCCTGAATTATTTTCATTGAGAATTTCAACATGCAATCTCTTGTAATTTCTCACGTCTCGCCAGAGTTCTACTTTACATTTCAGTTAAATTAATCAATGATGCATAGATGCCATCTATTTTTAGCAACATATTCATCAGAATTTTATTACCATGTGCAATCACATTATACACTAATCGAATATCCCAAATAAATGTTCACAATGACAGCATGGCGGCAATTGGAATGTCTTTCACACTCTATTTAAAAAAAAAACATGTTTTATAAATCAGGAGAGCAATTTTCCATTTTAAGGCAAGAGAGAAAAACCTCCCCTTGGGTGACATTCGGGTGTGCAACAGGCGTTCGCAAACGATCACGCGCCTCAAAAAACAATGACTGGAACCTTTTTGCTCAGTTACTGTTACATTTTTTAATGTTTTTCCATATATGCATCCATTTTCTCTGATATTCAATCATTATTGAGATTGAAAAAACTCACCTTGTCTATTAGCACAATCAGGACAAAACCATTCTTCTACTGGGATATCTGTCAATCGTGGTGTTAAACATTCACAATGATATCTATAATAAATCATACAATAATCAAATAACTTTGCTTAACGATTCGAGGTATAAACAAATACATCATAAGATAGTGCTATGTACAACCATCTTCCTTATAGAATGTTTACATGGTTTTGCCGACAGGAAAAGAAATTCTGCAAAATTTCATAAAAATCTCTTAATTTCAATTTATATAATAATTTACGCCAGTGAACGTGAAATGTGCCTGTATAAATTATCGAAAGTCACAACTACCATAATAGGGTGATATGTGTGCAAAATTTCATAATTATCTTTTAAAAGATTTATGATATGCTTCGGAACTAAATCGGGACAATTCAACAGCCAAATCAATTGTCAATGGGGCTCATTTCAATATTCCTCAATAACTTAATTCAACGCTTGATAACAAAATATAAAGTGTAGACTAGATTACCCCAGATCACAGCCATCACAGAGTAGTAAACGATCTTCATGATCACTTCGACCACATACTTCACAGACCGTTTCATCTTCTTCTTCATCTTCCTCATCTTTTAGTGCGTTACTATCTTCGACAGGTATCTTATCAAATTAACAAAAAAAATTATGAATTCTATATGTACTATCTTGAAAATAACTCTTTTGGACCAGATATAAATTATGAGCAAGGTATAAAGCTTAAAAGTCACAAATGCAGAGATATTTATGGCTAGTGCATGTCTTCATCAGAAAGCACTATAAGAGGGGATTTAAAACGATCATCTTTTTACCATTACATGTAGATGTCTGTCTTCATAAGCATCCGTATTGTATGAGCTTACAAATGTATGTGGTTATAATTGTGAAATAAATTTGATTACTGTATAATGTTTATTTATACGTAAGTTTTAAAAATTTAACGGTTTTATGATAGAATAAATTATTTATTTTACAAAATATTTGTTATTCATACCCTTGAATGAACTTTATTTTCTCCTGGTTTCTTCACAATAATCAAATGATAGACTTGACGATCAACAGGGCATGTGTTTACATTCTGAAATACATATTTATACATATCTAAATACCAGAAATATACTACATATATCCAAATACCAGATATACATGTACACATATCTAAATAAATATAACAAATATACATTGTCTAATTACAAGCCAGAAATATACATTTATACCAGAAATGTACATTGTCTAAATCCGAGAAAATTTAAAGTTCTTGGGAAAATATACAATATGGCATTGGAAAGATCAAAGCAATTCTCTACCCTAATCTTACAATTCATGTATCCCAAACAACTGAGAATAGAATACCATGGTCAGGGCTTTAGCAATATAAATTAAGGCTTTATGCATGTATCTATATTTCTGTAGTTTACAAATAATTACAGCTCTTAACTGTGTGTCAAATTGAATATAAATTGTGCTATAGTGCCTATTGTTTCATTATATACAGACTGAAGGTTTATAGATGTAATTTACACCATCATGTACATTTAAAATGATGGCGTTCGATGATCAATGGTCGTATTTGATGGAATATAAAATAGCACGTTTCCGTCCAGTACAATTTCACCTACCTTAGACCATTCCTGAATACATTCTAAACAGAAATTATGATCACATGATTCTGGTGTTCCGATATCTTGTTCTTTAAATCGTCCCAAACAGATTGGACAACTTTCCTCTCCTTCTCCACCAGAATCACTTAAAACTTGAGAAGCATCTTCACCATCCTCATCCTCCTCCTCGCTGCTTTCATCATCATCATCATCATCATCCTCTTCCTCATCATCATCATCATCACCCTCCTCTTCATTATCATCCCCTTCTTGTCCATCTTCTTCAGAATCCCAATCTAAAATATATCCAGCATTTCAGATTAAATCTTAAAGTATTTCAGTAATGACATCTACCATCCCAACCATCAGATTTTGTATAATTATGAACTTCCGAAAGAATTACAGAATCATACCCTTGTCCATAATGCAATATATATACTGTACAATGACTAAACTTCCAAAATTTTATTTTGGCCTGAAAATTTAAAATCATGGAAGAGATGAAATACTTGGCTAAGATCTTAAAACTGAGGAAATAAAATATGGCTTGTATAATATTGCCTAAATAAGTCAATTTAGCAGTAAAATTTGAACACAAGTTTAACATATGACTTTACTGAAAGAGACAAATTACAACATATTTTGTAATTCTACTTCAGACATTAAACAGATACATGTACATTTTTATAAACAAATGCTTATAATTTACAAACCTTCTTCCTCACTATCATCTTCTTCTTCATCATCGTCTACACTCTCTTCCTCCTCATCTTCATCATTAACACCTTCAGTAATTTTAACATCAGTATTTTCTACATTAACAGCATCCTTTTCCGTTTCCATTTCCCCTTCACTTGTGGGGTTTTGTTGGATGTTTTCAAGATCTATGTCATTGACTTCCATTCTTTCTTTGTTCGGTCTTTCTGACAACTGTTAATGTCACTTTAGTTCAACATAAATATATTTTCTTCCAACTAATAAATCCTGAAATTAAAATACAGATAGGACTTAGTGTAATTTATTGTAAACTTAGAATATGTCTATGGAAGAATAGAGCTGGGTAAAATATCAATACAAATCAATAGTATCGATTAGACTGCCAAAAATGCACTATCGGTATGTTACTATCATTATCGTTTTCTTTGTCTATGTTTTGTGCATAGGAGTTGACTCGATGTTTTCTGTGAGTTAATCCCTCCTTTATATAATAATACAATATATTGGTCACTTCAAAGTACCGGTATCAATGTAGCATTTCAATCTGATTTGAACAAAGATCCTATTTAATTTCATTTTTTTACTTGTCTTTACCACAGGATCCAAAAGAGTTGGTTTATAACCCGCATTCTGGATGATGTGAGGGATTAATTACCCAATGAAACGGTCTGTTACGGTGAGTTTTTGGCGTGAGGTGCACGGAACTGTGGACAACCCACTCGAAACATCAACATCTGACGCGACCTTCCAATACAACCGGTCAGATCTCAATGTAGTGTAGGCCATGGAAAGTATAAAATAACGAAATGAAATATAGATCTGTATTTTAATCAGATTGGTAACATTATAAAAAAAATGTGAAAAAAATTTTTCCGTAATTTAAACAATATTTTGACTTTGAAAAATTTTTTGTTGAATCGCCATATCCTGCAATTCACCAAATCGGAGATACCCGGACGTGTAATTAATTCAGAGTTTTTTGTTTCACAATTCGTCTGCTCATAATTATAAGAAAGTACAAATGACATAGCACTCATGGATGACAAAACGCTTGTATTTCTTCATTCGAAATCAAGGCTACATTATTTTAATAATAATAAACAATTTACGAATTTGTGACAACTAGCTTTTTATTAATCTTTCTCTACTTTTGGTATGTGAATCAACAATGAATTGTCTGCCATATCAGTATTTGTCGCGCTCGTGTACACAATGTTTTCAATGAATGCGTGTTCATTTTATTTTGTTTCCTCCAAATCAACGGTGTTTCTTAATTCGGTACCAAGGCTACATTATTTCAAAAATAAACAACAATATATATATGTGATGAGAAAGTTTATTATCAATTAGCCGAACAAAAAACATCTATCGCAACATCGTATGGTTTTGATTTTTAAACATGTAATCGTCTTGATTACGACCGTGAAAATAAGTTTGTTTCGATACTATCGATTATGGATTAACATTTCAATGCCAATTATCGAAAAATCACTATCGATACCCAGCACTAGGCCTATGGAAGACTATGGTTTGCTGTGCCGTTCCCGTAGGTCAAGGAAACATGACAATTTAATAACGGTTTTGTAATTAAACATGCAAATTAAAAGATACAAATATAGCAGAATCTGCGGCATAAACCGACAAGAACTTCATTTTCTTATTGAATGAAGTTCCATTTCTTATTAAATTATTTGTGGAGAGGCCAAGCAATCATAATCATCCTTCTTACACTCCAGGCCAGATGTACTTCTCAGAAGTACATCTAATACACTTCGGAAATTTACATGAGTTTAGATTTAGCAAACATGCCTACATGTATATCTGTACGGTACAGTAAAAAATTTGTCTCTGCTTGGACTGGTACTGTGTTCAACCCCTTTCTACTCTTAACTCTCCCTTTGCCAGCCTTTGGCTTGGGCTTTTTCACTCACTCAGCAAAAATGTCCAAACGTTACATTGGTTCCTGCAACCCTACAGTTTAGGATCAAGCTTGAACCAGAATAAATAATTTCCCTTACACAATATAGTAATGATCAAATACAAATATATCCAAAAATATCTACATTATATATTGTAAATAATTAAATAAAATATCGCAAATTTTGCCATTCTAGAAATCCGCCATGTTTTTTTTTTCGAGTTAATGCCCGGATGTTTAGACAGCTGTCAATATTTTACTTGCGTATCTTAAATTTATTTCAGGATAATGCTTTATTATCAAATTAACAGTGGTATTATCTTTATCGTGGCACCAGAATATTACTTTTACTGACCTAGAACGCTAATATCTCAATAAAAATACAAACAAGTGTTATTCTAAAAATAGATGTTTTGCACACGTCACTCATTGGGACGCTATATTTGTACAGATTAGCAGGTGCGCGAAGCCCATACTATTTTCTGCAATAATTTGGGACTGGATATAAAAGTCTTCTATCGCTAGTTTCGGTTTCCGTATGTTGAAGATTTCATTCACCGCTCCTGCTGTAATCAAATCTGCCGTTGTACTCGTACGTAGAGGTACTCCCAGTTTATATCGTTTAACGTTACGTTACATGCATCGAGTGACAGCAATGGATAAGCTATTTAAGTAAGTATAGGCCCTATGGTTGTTAAAGGGGCTAAATCGCTAATATTTGGGACCTGCGGAAATTGACACAAATCGGTTGCTACGCATATAATTTTTAATAATGTAATTAATATGAATGTATATAATTTAATATAAACTAATTTACATTCAATGGTTTCTGTTTCTACTGCAATTTTTAATTGGTTATGTTCGGCGAAATACGCCCGAAGTCTCAATCGAAAGGCGATCTCTAGTGTCTGGTTATTCCAGTCTACACCGATAGTATTTATTGCGAAATGAAATGAAATGAAATGGGGTTTAACGTTCTACTGTTCTGCTCCTATACTGGGCTAATGAAGACGGGCATATACGCCATACAGTGTGCTATGAGGGAAATTTTGCCCGGGCAGCGGCACTATCGCCTACTCTTATATCGAATTCCAACTGCCAAGGGATCTTTTACGTGCATTCTAATGTATACACGGGACCTCGGTTTTTCGTCTCATCCGAATGACTAGACAGCTGTCCTTGTCAGGCCCTCCGTTCTGCACCACTGACAAGAGGAAACCACGTCGGAAAATCCAGATGAACTTTCTCAACCAATGCAGGGATCGAACACCCGACCTCCAGGCTAGCGAGCCAGCGCCTTAACCACCTAGTCACCGTGGCTCAGTGCTCAACTGATAAGAATATGGCATCACCGTCTGACATGACTGGTGAAATATACCTAGCTTCGATTTTTGATTCCCTTATTAGAAATTACGCTGAACCGTATTATGGTACACGACTCGTGTACCAATGGTAAAATGTTTATTTTGTCTTAAATATTGGATATCAGAAGCCCAACTTTTCCCAGTAAGATCACACCAAATTATGTAAATAAAATTAAACCATATGTTAGTCCCGATATGATCTAGTTTGTGTCGAGTGGACGTTAAACCCCATTTCTCTCTCTCTCCATGCTCAATATACATGTATAAAAACTTGCATTTCAAGTTTCATCAAAATCGGATAAAAATTGTGACCTCAAGAGCATCCACAAGCTAAAAGCGTGATTTCACGTACAATAAGAAGCCACAATCCATGAAGTTATGGACCAATACATCCCAATTTAAAAAGGAACCGAGATCTGTGGGAGATAGACATATATTTCAAGTTCAGTCAAAATCGGATAAAAACTTTGACCTGTGGAGTGTCCACAAACAAATTGTGGACGAACAGACGGACAGACGTCAGGACGGACAGGGGCGATGACTATATTCGTCCGATTTTAAATTAAAGATGTTAATTTGGCATAAAGAACGGTATATTATCAAATATCGATATAAATTTTTATACACACACATTTTCATGTTGACGTATTATGCCGTCGCCCCTGTCCGTCCGTCCGTCCGTCCGTCCACAATTGTTTGTGGACCCTCTACAGGTCACAATTCTTATCCGATTTTGACGAAACTTGAAATATAGGTTTATCTCCAAAAGATCTCGGCTGCTTTCGATATTGGCATGTATCGGATCAAAACTTCATGGATTATGGCCCCTATTTGTACGAAAAATCATGTTTTTAGCTTGTGGACTCTATAGAGGTAACAATTTTTATCCGATTTTGTTGAAACTTGAAATATAAGTTTATAACCCAAAGATCTCGGTTCCTTTCGATATTCGCGCATATCGGACCGTAACTTCCTGAATTATGGCCCCTGATTGTACGAAAAATCGCGTTTTTAGCTTGTGGACCCTATAGAGGTCATAATTTTTATCCGATTTAAAAAAACGTATTATTATATCACCGTTACACCCTAAGGACGACTGAGTTTTAATTTTCGTGAAAATCGGCCCAAAATGGCCGCCGTTCGTTCTCAGATAGCGTAAAAATATGGTATATCAAGGTTGGGGACCCTATAGAGGTCACAATTTTTATCCGATTTTGTTGAAAATTGAAATGTAAGTTTATAACCCAGAGATTTTGGTTCCTTTCGATATTCGCGCATATCGGACTGTAACTTTCTGAATTATGGCCCCTGATTGTACGAAAAATCACGTTTTTAGCTTGTGGACCCTATAGAGGTCATAATTTTTACCCGATTTAAAAAAACATATTATATCACCGTTACACCCTAAGGAAGGTTGAGTTCGAATTTCGTGAAAATCGGCCCAAAATTGACAGACAAAATGGCCGCCGTTCGTTATCAAATAATGTAAAAATATGGTATATCAAGGTTGTGGACCCTATGGAGGTCACAATTTTTATCCGATTTTTTTAAAACTTGAAATGTAAGTTTATAACCCAAAGATCTCAGTTACTTTCAATCTTCGCGCATATCGGACCTTAACTTCCTGAATTATGGCCCCTGATTGTACGAAAAATCGCGTTGCGTTTTTAGCTTGTGGACTCTGTAGAGGTCATAATTTTTATCCGATTTAAAAAACCGTATTATTATATCACCGTTACACCCTAAGGAAGGTTGAGTTGAAATTTCGTGAAAATCGGCCCAAAATTGAAAGACAAAATGGCCGCCGTTCGTTCTCAAATAGCGTAAAAATATGGTATATCAAGGTTGTGGACCCTATAGAGGTCACAATTTTTATCCGATTTTGTTGAAACTTGAAATGTAAGTTTATAACACAAAGATTTCAGTTCCTTTCGATATTCGCGCATATTGAATTGTAATTTCCTGAATTATGGCCCTTGATAGTACGAAAAATCACTTTCTTGTTAGCTTGTTCTCTATCCATCTCTCGAAAATGTGGGCGTATCCTGCCTGGCAGCCGCTGGTTTGCTTACAAGTTGAAATAATGGTTGAGTTAGGTAATTCATGCTACCCAGACAAGACCATTTATTGGACTCTGCTGAAATTTCTGACAGCAAATGTTTTGCTATACAAGACGCAGAGGCCATAACAAATAGAATAATACATATGTAATGATCTTGGTCATGGATGCTAAATCACATTACCTGTGTGAATTATTCTTCCTAAACAATAGGCTAATTTTGTTTTTACATAATTTTCTTTTAACTGTTATATAAAACATTAATTAGACATTATTATTCACATACCAAGCCCATAATCTACTCTCTAAAGCATTGGATGGTTTTGATTGTCGGTGGATTTAAACACGATTCATGGATGCCAGTTTATGATTTAATTAAAAAATGGATAATCAAGATTTTGTTTATTATCATTACAAGTGTAGTAATGACAGTTGCGACTACACTGTTCTTAAAACGGCCAAACTCTGCCCAGCAGACTGACATATTCAGCATATGCCCTTTTTATTATATGTTTTTTAACTATTAGTGTGAGAACTGTCAGCTCTTTAGTCTTTATCTAAATCTTACATAATGCATCTTCAAATTGTAAATCGGACAACACTTATTTTAAAGGAGCTACATCCCTATTCTTTAAAGAATCACTAATGGATCGCAATGCATATATATAATATGAATATATATAAACCAATTTACAATCCTTTCTGTTTTTACTGTAATTTCTAATCAGTTAAATATTCGCTGAAATATGCAAAGACTTCAAATTGATTGGCATCTGGTTATTCCAATCTACAGAGGTAGTATTCTCAAAGGGGGGTATGTTTGGGCTTGTTCTTTGGGTCACTTCATTACAAATGGCGCTTGAAAGCATTCCGGCACACGTTTCGTGTACCAATTTTAAAAAAATTATTTTCTCTTAAATATTGGATATCAGAAGCCCATCTTTTCACGGTAAGATAACAACATCAATGTTGATATATTTTGACCAATAAGTCTTGTTTGCAATGTCGATGACTGTGGATGATATTGAGTTAAAGACTTGCCACCTTTAAATCTAAAATGACAGTCTTCAAGGCGAACACAATTATTTGATAGGAGTGGCTTGTTACATTGCTCTTGGTTTATTTTTGTCACTAGAAAAGAAAGCAAAATATCAGAACTTATTTAATTAGATATGTTTATTTATCAGTTGTGTAGATATGTTTATTTATCAGTTGTGTAGATTTGAGTACTTACAGTATGTAAAGTCAAGTGGGTATAGACTATAAGTCAATCAAAGTAACTCCTGTTGTTAATGATTCACTATCATATGACTGATGAAATAAAGCAATAAGTGCACGCATAAATTAGTAAAAAAAAATTTAAATGATGAAAAATTCAAGAAAACTCCCAAAATAGTGGCTGAGTTTGTTTAGTTTTGTTGTTCTTATGTCTGAAATAAATTTGTCAGAACAGTGACTTTAACAAACAAGACTTTTTCTGATGAACAAATTGTTTGCTAGGTTTGCAGCAGTCATATTTTCATGAATCCTTTTTTCCGAAAAATTGTATTAGTAATTTGCTATATCTCAATCCTGATGATGCAGTTTGGCACTGTTTCTTTCCTGGAAATAAGACATCTGTCTCAGACATTGACAGACACAAATTCAGGCATGATTCTTATGGTTCCTGTCATTTTCTCTGGCACAGATTTGTTTTTTCCTATGTATTTTTATTGATCTTATGAAAACATGTCTGACACAAAGTTCAATATGTCAGCTATATTTCCCTGACAATTCCTTGTTTAGAATACTGCTATCTATTTGGTTCACTATTTTCTTATGGGATCTATTTTTAAACTTTATAAGTCTGTTTTATTCTGTCTTTATGAAATATTCTCTCTTCTAGAAGGCTTTTCGTTTTTATTGACAAATCTTTAACTTATTATCTCATGGCTTTTGAATACTGTATATGTGAAAGGTAAGATACCGGTGCCAAAAACAGAAGGTAATAATCAAACTGGGCACAAAGTCAAACTGCAATACTGGATTGAAATCACCCAGAACATCCAACTGTATGTGTTACAAGAAATGTAACTGATGTATTAATCTTGTAGTGTAATATTGGTATCTTGACTGTATAAATCTCCTAGAGTAGTGTTGGTAGACTGAATCAGCTGACTGTTTATATATACACTTAAAAAAAAAGTAGGGGATATTCAGAAACAATACAAAACTGTGGAAATGCACTGCTGTTTTTATTAGAGGTAACCAGTGTATGTTAATAACAGGCCAGCAAAGATACGCTAAACAGTAAATCTTATGCAAGAACCGATAGGAATGCTAACACAGCGCGTGGCAGTCTTCATCAACCCTTCCTTGAAGTGTCAAATTTGACAATGAACCCATCCCACATGTATGGCGCTATTGCGTGTCGCATGTGCATCTCAGTGGTTCTGTTGGGGCGATAAGTTCTTCATCTGTGAACATACTCTCAAAGCATGTCAAGTGTCCATGACTATTTATCATATCACAACCTGCATAGGTATTTGCATTTCAATATCCCCTATTTTTTTTTTTGAAGAGTATATAAATCTTGTAATAAAGTGCAGTGTTGGTATCTTGACTTGTTAAATCTTGTAGTGTGTTGGTAGCTTGACTGCTAATGTATATGTCTTGTAATGTAGTGCAGTGTTGGTATCTTGACTGTTAATGTATAAATCTTGTAGTGTGTTGGTAGCTTGAATGCTAATGTATATATCTTATTGTGTAGTAGGTATCTTGACTTAGATTTCTGCCATCATGTGATAAGGAATTATCAAATGACATTAAGAGTATATAAATACTGATAACATATTACAAATAAGCAATAGGTCACACTTACAAAGTTCATTTAAGATTTGTGGGGTTATTTAGGTCAACACAATGTAGAAATTATATTTGGTATTATAATGATATATGTATTTAAATTCTTATTATAATGCTTATTCATCTGAAACTAAATGACTAGCCACTGACCTGAAACTTCAAAATTTCAAGTCAACAAATATTTTTTATTCAGTGAGATGATGTAGCACAGTTTTTGAAATTGTTCAAATAATAAAGACAAAAAAAAACCTGTCTTAATATTTTTTTGATGATAATTAATATGAGCATTGCATAGTTATATTTCTTTGAAAACGGGTCGTTTAACCTGAAACCTTATGATGAATAAAGTATCTCTATTCATCTTTTTTTTCTGGGAGCCATGGTGCCTAAGTGAGTAAGACGCTGGCTCGCTAGCCTGGAGGTTGCGTGTTCAATCCCTGCATTGGCCGAGAAAGTTCATCAAGATTTTCCGACGTGGTTTCCCCTTGTCAGTAGTGCAGGACGTAAGGCCTGACAAGGACAGCTGTCTCGTCGTTCAGATGTGCCAAAAACCCGAGGTCCTGTGTACACATTGCCGTTCACGTAAAAGATCCCTTGGCTCTATAAGAGTAGGCCATAGTGCTGCTGCCCTGGTAAAATTTTCCTCATTGCACACTGTATGGCGTATGCTCGTCTTCATTAGCCAAGTATAGGAGCAGAACAGTAGGACATTAAACCCCATTTTATTTCTTCATTTCATCTATTCAACTTAAAATCTGCTTTTTGAATTACCTATTCTTGTCTACTCTGTCTATCCTCTGGTATGTTTTTAAGGTAGTACTGCTGTTTCTCCTCCCCGCTTCTCATATCATATTTAGATATGTTTATTTGAATGTCCCTCGTCATTTGGATTGGGTAGAAAGAACCTGTGTTAAGGATCTCCTGACAGTTGGACAGAAAACATTCTGATTGTGAGAATGTGTCTTCTATTGCACTACACATATTATAGAATAAAAACTTTTATTTTTTAATGTGCACTAATGGTAGGCTGAAATTTGGTTAATTGAATGATTGGAATTGATTCAATTATAAAATTTATTAATACACATATTACATGGAATTATTCTGCATAGCTGTCAGGTATGAATCCTCAAAAAGTTCTGAAATTTAGTTTGTGGATATGAAATTATCAGATTGTCAGTTCCAGTGCCAGGTCAGCTATCAACTACATGTTCTGATATTTCACTTATATTTCTGCCCATACTGTAATGTTCTATTCACAACCACAACAGTTCTCTAAAATGGCAGTTATAACTATGTGTTCAATAGAGTTTTAAAGAAGTATTCATTCACCAATAGGCCTACATCCATTTGCATATCATCAACCCTTTTCAAATCCATTTACTGTCATTTTACTTTTGAGGGTAAAATTGTCATTTTTATACGCCCACATTTTCATGTGGACGTATTATGCCGTCGCCCCTGTCCGTCCGTCCGTCCACAATTGTTTGTGGACGCTCTACAGGTCACAATTCTTATCCGATTTTGACGAAACTTGAAATATAGGTTTATCCCCAAAAGATCTCAGCTGCTTTCGATATTGGCATGTATCGGATCGAAACTTCATGGATTATGGCCCCTGTTTGTACGAAAAATCACGTTTTTAGATTGTGGACCCTATAGAGGTCACAATTTTTATCCGATTTTGTTGAAACTTGAAATGTAAGTTTAAAACCCACAGATCTCAGTTCCTTTCGATATTTGCGCATATCGGACAGTAACTTCCTGAATTATGGCCCCTGATTGTACGAAAAATCACGTTTTTAGCTTGTGGACCCTATAGAAGTCATAATTTTTACCCGATTTAAAAAAACGTATTATTATATCACCGTTACACCCTAGGGACGACTGAATTCGAATTTCGTGAAATTCGGCCCAAAATTGACAGACAAAATGGCCGCCGTTTGTTCCCAAATAGCGTAAGAATATGGTATATCAAGGTTGTGGACCCTATAGAGGTCACAATTTTTATCCGATTTTGTTGAAACTTGAAATGTAAGTCTATAACCCAAAGATCTCGGTTCCTTTCGATATTCGCGCACATCGGACCGTAATTTCCTGAATTATGGCCCCTGATTGTACGCAAATCGCGTTTTTAGCTTGTGGACCCTATAGAAGTCATAATTTTTACCCGATTTAAAAAAACGTATTATTATATCATCGTTACACCGTAGGGACGACTGAATTCGAATTTCGTGAAAATCGGCCCAAAATTGCCAGACAAAATGGCCGCCGTTCGTTCTCAAATAGCGTAAGAAAATGGTATATCAAGGTTGTGGACCCTATAGAGGTCACAATTTTTATCCGATTTTGTTGAAACTTGAAATGTAAGTCTATAACCCAAAGATCTCGGTTCCTTTCGATATTCGCGCATATCGGACCGTAATTTCCTGAATTATGGCCCCTGATTGTACGAAAAATCATGTTTTTAGCTTGTGGACCCATTAGAGGTCATAATTTTTATCCGATTTAAAAAAACGTATTATTATATTACCGTTCCACCCTAAGGACAGTTAAGTTTGAATTTTGTGAAAATCGCCCCAAAATTGACAGACAAAATGGCCGTCGTTCGTTCTCAAATAGCGTAAAAATATGGTATATCAAGGTTGTGGACCCTATAGAGGTCACAATTTTTATCCGATTTTGTTGAAACTTGAAATGTAAGTTTATAACACAAAGATCTCAGTTCCTTTCGATATATGCGCATATCGAATTGTAATTTCCTGAATTATGGCCCTTGATTGTAGGAAAAATCACTTTCTTGTTAGCTTGTTCTCTATCCATCTCTCGAAAATGTGGGCGTATCCTGCCTGGCAGCCGCTGGTTTTTAATAATTCCATAAAATTGTTGAAGAACATGACTTGATGCATATTGATTTATTTTAATTTCTATTCACAGATGTATCGACAAGAACGAAGAGAAATATGTTAAGTTATTAGCAGAGAGCGTTGCCATTCAGAGTATCTCAGCAGAACCAGAAAAACGTGGAGAGGTTCGACGTATGGTGGAATGGACAGCCCAGGTAAATCATTTATTATGAAAATCTTTACATATATATAGTGTTACAGTGTATGCCTTTATAATTCCCGAATCTGTTCACTCCCTGCATGTACATTACCTGTTGCAAGTGTTAGGGATAAAGTTTAGTTGTTGAAAAAAAATTGAAACTCAATGGAGCTTCAGACAATCTTTATATCTCAAAACATTATCGACCACATTTGTTTTAAGCAATTTTTAACCAGGATCAATATGTGATTCTTTAGTGATAATCTCTTCTGGAAACTTTGTTGATTCCCAGACCATATAATTTGACCATTTCTTAAAGTGTAATGAGTTTTTATTAATCATACTAAGTGTTGAATATGCATATACCACTGGCAACAAGAAAAACATAAATATTCCACCAACAGATGGTGTTAGAAACCTTGGTGTATATTTTGACTCTGTGCTAAATATGAAAGTATATGTGCCCAATATATCTGCAAGAAAGCAAACTTTGATCTGTACAACATTAGAAAAATTTTACCAAACTGACGGAATGTTCAGCACTCTAGAAAATGATGATTATTAATTTGAAAATTATAACAGTTTAAGTGCCGACACTTGCAATATTCTCAAACAATACCCATTGTTTAATCTCAAGAATCAACCATATATTTGTTTATCGAAACCATTCATACTTGTTAAATTTTTCTGTCAGAAATTAAAAGGTATTGGTGCTAGTTATGAACTAAAAGAGTTAGGGGATCAGACATTACCAGATGGAACTAAGCTACCTCTACCACCAGTTATATTTGCTCATCTTGGTAGTGATCCTAAAAAGAAAACACTGTTGGTATATGGTCATCTTGATGTTCAGCCAGCTAAAAAGGTAATTATTTATTATTGACAGGTCCTGTGTTCTATGCCTTCCTTGGATGGGAAAGTTCATCAGGATTTTTTCATCAGTTCTTTTAGTCCCTCTCCGGTACAAATATTTAAATTTTGAAGACCAATCTTTATTAGCTGTCCTGCAGTAATGTCTAAGAGCATACTATGGATGAAGTGTTTTTAGTATATAAATCATTTTTTGCTCCAGTATTAGTACAGATCCTGAAATTAACATTCAGCATTTTAGCTAGAGTAGATCGAGATATGTGTGTAAATAGTGACCATAGAGTACCTAGTGCGTGCCTAGAGCATGCATTTGTGGATGGATTAACACTTGGATTAATAGACATTGCAGGAGGATAAGGTTGTGGTTAAGAAGTGAAATTATAATCAGAATTTTAAATAAACTTCAAAATTAAATCCCCTAGTATGCCAGAATAAAGGTTAAATCAGTGAAATAGTGATTATAGTTAAACAGGCATTATGCAAGAGCTAAATATGTCTATTGCAGGTCTTTCTTGAGGCCTGAAATGTTTTCTCAATTATTAATTAGACATTAATTAACTGATCCAGGCCATAATCAACTCTCTATGGCATCGAATATTAAGCAGATTAGAACGGTTCAGCCATATTTTGATTTAATCTAAAAATTCATTCTTCATGATCTATTTTCGAACTATTACAGCAAGAATGGCTTGCTCTTTATCTAAACCTTACATAATGTATCTTTAAGCATGGATAACTTTTTTTTTGACATATTAACAGGAAGATGGATGGGATACCGAACCGTTTGTTTTAACTGAAGTCAATGGTAAATTATATGGTAGAGGTTCTACAGATGACAAGGTAAAAACCATTAATTCTCTTGCCACATGTTTTTATTTTACATATTATGGTTTTAATTTTGTTCTGGAGATTAGGATTATATTATTGATTTTATAAATCAAATATTTACTCTCTTAATCAGTTGGTATAATTTACTAGATCATGTTCACAGATCTCTCCCATCCCTGACAGTCTTCAGTTTGTCAAGGATTAATGACTCAATTTAACCATTTTCAAAGGTATAGTTAAGATGTTGAGCTAACAAACAATATAGCAGTATTTCTCGTAACTTGTATATATATATGTGATCGTATTATGCTAATTTAACTGTACTTTTAATCATTTGTTTATATTTGATCATGTTGTGCCAATTTAGCAGTATTTGTAATTACTTGTATATGTGTGTTCCTGCTGTGCTAATTTCTAATAAAAATATGTTTGATTTACAGGGTCCAGTCTTAGATTGGATTAACTGTATTGAAGCTATGCAAGAGATTGGTATGGATGTACCCATTAATATTAAGGTAAAAGTATTGTCCTAAAACAGTAATGAATAAAAAGAGAAATAAGGTTTATTATCCACTTAACAAGAAACTAGGTAATTCCAATAGCTCATTTGCATGTAGGATCTTTGCGTATAAGAATCTTGGAAGGAAAATGGAAGTTAAACTGTCAACAATGCTGGGATAAAACTTTTGACAGACCTGATAATCGGCTGCATAGAAAATGCCAAAAAAGAAATGATAAACTGAACAAAAAACAGCCAGTTTATCCAACATCTGTACATAAGACAAACAAGAATTTTAATAATGATTTGATTTTGTTTCATATTTCAGTTTGTGTTAGAGGGCATGGAGGAATCCGGATCAGAAGGGTTGGATGAACTTGTTATGTCACAAACAGATGGATTCTTGAAGGTAAATTTTACTTTTAGCCTTGTCACATTTTTTAAAATATTATTTAGGCAAGAAAATAAAACTAAATTAAAAAAACAAACAAAAAACTACTTCCACTTTATCTGCCAAATTGAAAATGTAATCAAATAGCGCTTGCTACATCACTGATTTAATTATCACATCAGATCACTGGGTTTATTTTCATTTCGTGGTAATTTTGGTTTTATTTTATAATAGGGAATTCGTTACGCGAGAGCTTGTTCATTTTATTCTGATTTTTAAGTAGATCAAGGCATTTGTCATCTAAGCTTCAACTACAGGGATACTTGCGAACTAAACTTATTAAAACCTTTAAAAAGTTTTATGGCCGTCATATTGACTTGATTGGTAAATATAAAATGTCTCTCTCGGCTATTATTCTAGATATATTTCATTGACGCGTATACTATCTCCCTGATAATGTCTGTCTACTACATCGTTAACACTGTTCATCACGTGCATTTTGCATACCGATAGTTCATTGGCCAATCACGCTATTTTACCGAGATTTCGCCTAATAGTTTGGATGCAGCTATGGCGGGTGTGGCGCAGGCAGGGTAAGCTTACTCTTCCGGACACCTGTTACCACTGTTTGTCGTGTATTTTGTACACGGTGAACAGTCCATATGCTGATTACACTATTTTGCCTAATTACACTATTTTGCCTATACCGTTTTTTTAGGACTTTGAATTTTGTCTAATGGTTTGGATTGTTCGTACTTGGTTTTATTTTATTCTTATTACAGACTGTTTATTTTTTATGTTCTTTTAGCCAACTGATTATATTTTATTTTATTACACAGAACTGATTATGTTTTATTGTATTACAAGGAACTGATTATGTTCTGTTTTATTATAGAGAAACGATTATGTTTTATTTTATTATAGGGTACTGATTATGTTTTATTTTATTATAGAGAACTGATTACATTTTATTTTATTATAGGGAACTGATTATGTTTGTATATCTGATAATTATTGGCTAGGAAAAACGAAACCATGTATTACTTATGGTCTAAGGTAACTGGATTTAAACTAATTTAAGTTTTAACAGAAGGTGGAAAAAACATATTCATAAAGCAGTGATAAGTGGCAAACATTCTTACATCCGGTAACAATAATGGTCCTTTTTTTCGTTGATATGCCACAATCATTGTCGACTAATCAAAATAGTTGTTACTTTCCCACCCAGGTGGTTTACTTTTTACTTTTGCCAAACCTTGTGGTGTACATTTTTACAACAGTCAATGATCAAGATTTATGAAAATTTATAGTTCAAATCAGTGACAGCTGCATTAGAAGAGATGTAGTATATTTTTAAGGGCTTAAAACTTCTACACGATTACTGTAGATATTGAACCATATACATTATGTTTATTTTGTAAGGGCTATCACAAAATTTAAAACTGACAATGGGACAGACTGCGAAAACTGAGGAGATATCTGTTTGACATTTAATTCTCATAAAGACAAATTTTGGCTGTTGCATGTGTCTGTATGTGTATTTTACTTCATTGAGAAAAGGGTCAAAACTTCTGCCAGCTGCAATTCGTGTAGCTTACAGTCTTAGTACCAGGTTTGTTCAGGTTTTTTATAAATGAAACAAGTGTGATAGACTGCTGGTCAGGCCCATAATAGTTTAGACTGATGGGAATGGGAATAGGTTCTGGCTGTCCGGCATTAAATTCTTTAAATGTTTCTGTTAAGTTTACTCAATTTTGGAAGCATAAGTCTTGAGAAAATTATGTAATAATCTTTTCTTACTCTACTTACAATGCACATGCAAATTTTCTGCCAAGCTTTAAATAGCTAGCAAGTTAAGTTGGGACTCAACTGTTTTCATACATGTAGCTCACTGTATATATGTATTTCTAAGGTCACTATTTACTGTTATTGTCAGTTAATGATGACAACCATTTCCACAAATCAATCAGTATAAAGCCATTTGGTAATTTATGATGTCATAAGTAGTATGTAAGGTACTTCAGATACTGCTTTAAAATAAGCGATAATGCCATACTTTATCTATTTTCTAGAGGTATCTGTTATTTTATGTTAGAAGTGACGTGTGCTTCTAAAGATCTACATTCTGGTGTATTTGGGGGAACAGTGTAAGTAAAAATTTCTTTAATATATATCGTACAGCAATTAGTTGTTGTTAACCAGTGAACATTAGAAGGGCTTGAGAATCATTACCACATGGCTGTGAGTAAAAGGTTTTTACAGGGTATATTATATAAACCTGTACTGAAAGACTAAAAACTTTATGTAGACAAATATTAACCTGTTTTAATTTTTTATGTTTTTGTAGCCATGAAGCAATGACAGATTTAATCAAATTAATGGGTTCTTTAGTAGATTTAAATGGAAGAATACTGATTCCTGGTGTTTGTGATAGTGTGAAAGCGCTTACTCCAGAAGAAAGTCAGTTATACGAACCTATTGAATTTGATCCAGTAAGTAGAAGTTTAAAAGACCAGTCTCTATTTTAGGGCGCAACTGGCTATTATGACCTCTATGTCAAGAGTTATGGTTCTAAGTAATCACCTGGATTATCAATTCACTATGGTAATACTTTTAATTGCTATGCTCTTAAACTCTATGATTACCGTTTATACTGGTGTCTTGGGGAATTAAATGTATATTAATTTATTCAGGATGATTATAAAAAAGATATTGGAGCCACGAAATTGATTCATTCTACGAAAGCTGAAACACTGATGCATCGTTGGAGATATCCATCCCTCTCCCTTCACGGTAATTAATTTACAAATATTTGCTAATGGTTCAGCTTATCAACTCTTTGCCGATTGTTCACTTTACCTACCAACTGTTTGCTAATCATTCATCTCATCAGCTATTTGTTAATGGTCAGCCAGTTCGCCAGTGGTTAGCTGTTTGCTAATGGCTTAGCTCACTAACAATTTGCTAAAGGCCCAGCTTCTTAACAGTTTACTAATGGTTCAATGGTTCAGTTCACTAACTGTTTGCTAATGGTCAGCTCCAACTGTTTACTAATAATCCAGCTCATTAACTGTTTACTAATGGCCCAGTTCACTAATTATTTGATAATGGTTCATTTCACCAACAGTTTACTAATGGTTCACTAACAGTTTACTAATAATGGTTCAGTTCACTATCTCTTAATGGTTCAGTTCAAGAACTGTTTGCTTATGGTTCAGTTCACCAACTGTTAGCTTATGGTTCAGTTAACCAACTGTTTTCTAATGGTTCAGTTCACCAATGGTTTTGTAATTGTTCAGTTCGCCCACGCTTTGCTAACAGTTCAAACCAACTGTATGTGCTAATGGTTCAGTTCACCAACTGTTTGATAATCGTTTAGTTCACTACCAGTTTTCTAATGCCTCGATAAACATCCCAGTTACTCAGTGTTTTATAGATAATTTTACTGATTCATTAACATTACATTTTTTATATATTTCTCCAGGAATTGAAGGAGCTTTCAGTGAAAGTGGTTGTAAAACTGTCATACCTAAAAAAGTCATTGGTAAATTTTCAATCCGTTTGGTACCAGATCAAGAACCAGCAGAAATAGAAAAATTGGTCCGAGAACATATCAACAGAATACACACAGAATCAAGCAGTCCAAATCCAGTCAGGTAGCACTTATTATGTTACTTATAGTTGAAATTTTGTAAGAGCTTGATATTCTAGCTTCTTAGTTGAAGCTATGGTACCGTACTAGCCATAATCTTAGATAATGCCTATTCTTTATCTCTCTACAACAGCCCTTATTGTAAACAAACATTATTTTGGTGGCCAACAAATTTAAGAATCAGTTTCCAAACATTGAAATTTACAAAAGTGAAAGATTATAGAACACCACACTAGAGCATGTTTTGACTCCATGCCAAAACTTTGTTTGGTTTTATAAATTAATAACAATAATGCTACTTTTACATTGCCAATCATGCTATGATAAAAATATGGATCTTAATTGAATTTATATATGTTTTTCAGGTTAACTAATGCCCATGGTGGTCGACCTTGGGTCAGTGATTTCAATGATCCCAATTATGTAGCTGGACGTAAAGCCATGAAAACAGGTATAGTATACTATAGACCATCACTTTTAGATTTAGATATTACTCTCTGAAGACGGTTCTCAAAGAAATGTGATATAAATAGCACAAAATTGAAGTGATCCTAGGGAATTAAGTTTTAAAATGTATTGAAACAACAATGAATCAGTCATAATTCTGGTGTTTTCTAACATGCTAGGAATTTATTCTTGGACATAATGCAAGCAAAAGAATGAACCCAGAAATAGGAAGGGTTATTTGTTATTTCCCTTCAATATTTAGCAGTGGGTATTTCTCGACTTATGAGGCATATTTGTTAGCAATTCCATTAAGTAATCTGTGAGTGTGGAAGAGTTCCTTGAAATGTGTTTTTTTATGAACTACATACAATTGGATTTGCTTGAAATATATTAGATATTAATTTACTGTCTATTGGTTAATTCATTTTTATAGTCCAGTTTAACATGTCCATTTAATAAGCAGATTGAGATTAGTTATAACCATGAGTCCCAAGTACCAACCATGGTTTCTTTTTTATGAGAAATAGTCAATTGAAATATAATTTAAAATATATTCACTGCATGTGTACTAGGCCAACATTTAATAATTAGGTTTCAATTTTAGTATTTGGTGTTGAACCAGATTTGACCCGGGAAGGAGGAAGTATTCCAGTGACCTTGACGTTTCAGGAAGCTACTGGAAAGAATGTTATGTTACTTCCTGTTGGTGCATGTGATGATGGCGCTCATTCACAGAATGAAAAAATTGATAGAATAAATTACATTAATGGGGTAAGGAAGAAAATAAATATATTGAATTAATGCCAACAGGTTTTTGGTTTTTTTCTACAAAAGTATATTTTCAATCATCTCCATTCATTGTTTTCAAAGTTATTAACCTTGATGTTATTGACTTTGTGTTCTTTGAAAAAATATGGGTGAATGCTCAAGATAATAAAGTCATCTTTTGAGTGCTTATGTCCGAGAAGTACTTTCGAAGTTATTGCCATTGGTCACTTTAAAAATATTGTGGATTTTCTAGTAGCTAAAGTTATTTTCCAATTGATTTCAGATTAAAACATAGTGTTTATGTAAAGAAACCTATTGATTTTCAACAATTTCCCATAACTCGGAACAGCTAAAATCCATTCAATTTCTAATTATTCCTAATAATTACCTAATGGGTTGTTAGTTATCCACAAAAGAATAAATATGCAACAACAGAATTTGCGCTTTTCATTAGGTTAAAGATGGGCAATAAAGCTGTAATTGTGTCATGTTTATTCTCTCGAGAACAAAGTTCGGCATTTAACTTAATTGTCATATTGAAATAAACCAGTATTTGTTGTCTTGCTGATATTATATAGAACTTTCTGTTTTCAGATCAAACTAATGGGTGCCTATATGGATGAGCTGTCTAAATTATAACCTATTGATGTAAATGGTGTCACTAGATCACACATTCCTAAAGACCATCTTCATTTTTACCACATATTTGTAAACGTTTTTGAAAACTGAGTTCTTAAAAATCAGAAAGATGTATTAAATATTAAAAATCATCTAAAATATGTATTGGTTGGATTGGTATTTTTTTTATTGTACATAACGATATGATTTATTATAAACCAGCCCTGTTATCTATTTTAGCAATATATTTAGACAAGAAGAATATTTCCGCCATATCAAGTAATTGAAATTATACTGTCTCATACAATCATTAAATATATAAACTATTTTTGTTGTGCAGATTTAGGTTGTTATTATTAAAAGGTTTTAGTATTGCAAAATGTTTTATAGGTTGATATTGTTCATTTGGGATCTGTTTTATTTGTTTTTGTTAAACCTAATGGTGGATTAAAATAATAAATTATCAGAAAAAAATTATAAATAACTTGATGGCTGTTAGATATTTTCTGGATTGTTAGGAAACTTAGATGTTTAATGTGATAGAAAATAATTTGTTCATTTTAATATAAAAATATTCTTCCTGTCCTTATTCAGAGCAAGCTAAAAGCACTATACAAAGGGATTTTATGCAATTTTTGTAGTTTTGTAATATGAATATTCATATTATTATATTCATCCATGTTCATTTAGCAATGAAAAAATAATTTTATAAAAAGCATAATATATTAAGATGATCAACTTACATCATTTATATAATATTTGTAAATTAATATTTTCAAAAGGTTTGGTAATTAAATGACAATGAAAGAAATAGTTATTCTGCTTTTTTTTTTGCTTGTAAGAATACATGACCGGGTCCATAACCCAGAACAAAACATTTTGACTAGCACAGTTAATATGAATTGTTATATCTGTGACCAAACGCTGGATATTTCGATTTTGTTTTCATAATTAAAGGAGCTAAATCGCTAACATTTGGGACCTAGAAATTGACAAAAGTGGGTCGCAACGCATATAATACTGTAATATGAATGTATATAAACTGATTTACATTGAATGGTTTCCGTTTTTACTCCAATTTCAAATCAGTTATGTTCGGCGAAATAAGCCAGCAGTCTCAATCGAGTGCAAATTTCTAGCGTCTAGTTATTCCAGTCTACGTACGCCGTTCGATTTGTGTGCAATGTGTCTAGCCTCGTCCCTCGAGTCTCTTTTTACAACTGGGGCTGAAGCGCATTATGGTACACGATTCGTGTACCAATGGTAAAATGTTTATTTTGTCTTAAATATTGGATATCAAAAGCCCATCTTATTCCGGTAAGATCACAACATCAATGTTGATTTAATTTGACAAATAAATCGTGTTTTAAATGTTGAAGATTTAGGATGATATTGAGTTAGAGACTTAGCTACTTTAAATGATAAATAACCAACCTGAGTAGGATTAGCACCGATTAAGCCTTGAGAAATTTGATATTTTCCTAAAAATGCAAATCACTCAAGTCAACGAATGAAGCTTGCCCCTTTGCCACTAAATCCTGTTTTTATACTAAGTTTTCCCAAGCATGTTATAGTGCTAATATTTTATATAATAAGCACATATTAGATATCAGCAAATACTAAATATTTATATGTTGATGATATTGAAGTCATTTTTCACTATAATTCAATAGTGCTAATATTTCATATAATAAGCCCATATTAGATACCAGTAAATACTTAATATTTAATCGTGACAAGCAATCTTAACGTTTATGAGATTGTATTCAGTTTCCCCTAGCATCTAATAGTGCTAATATTTCAAATAATAAGCACATATCAGATACCAGTATATACTGAAAATTTTATTCCGTCTTTACTTCTAAATACTGGTGTTTTTTATACTCAGTTTCCCCTAGCATCTTATAGTGCTAATATTTTATATAATAAGCACGTATTAGATACCAGCAAATACTGAATATTCAAATGTTGATGATATTAGGGGTGTCACAATCGGAACAAAATTTGGGGTCGGGTTGTTTCTGAGGCAAAATTTGTCACTGAAGACGATTATGAGATTATTTTACTTCTGTGACGTCATTTTCGGTTGGGGGTTTTTCTGATTTCCAAAATGGCCGCCAGAATTTGACGAAAAATTAATTTCCAGATAGTATGGGTGATTATCACGCAAGGTATGGCTTGTAATATATCATATATAAGGTTTTTTAGTAATTGAACTGAAAAAATAATCTCTAAAACTAGTTTCCCCAAATCCAAGATGGCGGAAATTCAAAATGGCGGCCAAAATTTACCTAAAATGGCTGATTTGTCAGATAAAAGTCATTTCACTCTTTGATATGATTTATAATATGTAATTTAAAGGATTTTCAGTGTCACTAAACTTAAAATTAATCTAAATATAACGGGGTTCGAAAATCCAAGATGGCGGAAATTCAAAATGGCGGCCAGAATTTCCCTAAAATGGTCGATTTTTCGGATAATCGTCATTTTTAAGTTTGATATAGCTACTATTTTATGGAGACATAATGTGTGGTGCATTTACGGTCTTATAAAGCTCTATTCTTACATAAAGAATTCTTGATTCGCAAGGAAGTGTTTTAGCCGTGATCATTTTAAGTCATGCTTATGCCAAGATCTGGGTAAGTGTTAATTTAACTAGATATCAGAAAAGTACCACGTTTTCATAAATGTACTCTTTAGATAAATTGTACAATATTTATCAGTTCACTAGTTACGTGTTGACCTTTAACATCACACTTAGATCCTGTACGCTTTGTGTCTTACAGTCAATACATGTCATGAAGAACTCTTTAGACATAATTTCGTTTATAATACTTTACTCGTTTCTATTGAGTTGTTTAGCAGAAGTAACCCATGACAACAATATGTTGAGACGACTACGTAACAGAATAGGACGATTCAATGTTATTAAAATGACACAATGACAATTTTAATTTTATTACCAACCCTTTCACAATATTTGAATGAAATATCTCACACAGGGTGTTAATCTGTTTTCAGTTTCTATTCCAATTCAATAAAACATTTAAAACATTTAATACATGTCTTGGCTTGATTCATTATTTACAATTTAATACGTTAATCGTGTATTTTAAATAATACAGTTCAAGAGATCAAAACATTTCCGAATTTATACATTCAACATTACACGTAGACCTAAATGTATTTTTCAAATACGTGTATAAACATTTATATGAAATATATTATAAACAGATATGCTATGACCAGCGTTGCCATTATCTTTATTATTCGACTGGAAAACTCCTGTCATTCACTCTGTCGTTCGACTGATCCATCATTCACGTTGTCATTTCCGAGTCTGAAATTTGGGGTATAGGGGTAGCTCATACCGGGGAGTAACATAGGCCAGGTGGCGTTAGTCTACCACTTCCGGTTTCGGAGTTATGACCCCCGAGCGAAGCCGGGCATTCTTCTAGTATATAAATAAATATATAAATAAATCATCTTCATGGTCATCATCATCGTCATCATCACTATTTAACACCAATCATCGTCGCCTGACAATTACCTTATCTATTCAAAGCGCTTGTTTAGTTTTAAATACTTGTGAACTTTACTAAAACTCACTTTGTTGAACGGGTTACTTTCGTTGGTATCGCCATATAGGAACGCTTTTGTATTTATGGATTTAAATGGGAGGGTATTTAATGTTGAGATACGCTGAGACGAATAATTTGGGCAGTGCAGAAAATAATGGTCGCTGTCTTCTTGAGTATGACCACAACTGCATGTCGGGTTATGTGAAATATGCATTAAAAATCTATGGAAGTTTAGAGCACTTTTACAATTACGAAGTCTGGAATGTATAATCTGAAATTTACGTTCTCCATAGTAACATCTTACTGACATCAATAAATACAAAAATATAAAATGGCTGATTTGTCAGATAAAAGTCATTTCACTCTTTGATATGATTTATAATATGTAATTTAAAGGATTTTCAGTGTCACTAAACTTAAAATTAATCTAAATATAACGGGGTTCCAAAATCCAAGATGGCGGAAATTCAAAATGGCGGCCAGAATTTCCCTAAAATCGTCGATTTTTCGGATAATCGTCATTTTTAAGTTTGATATGGCGAGTGATATGCGATTTAAAGGGTTTTCTGTGTCACTCAACAACCTCAAAAGAAGAGTTTCCAAAATCCAAAATGGCGACCAGAATTTCCTAAAATGAACGATTTTTCAGATAATCGTCATTTTTTCGGTTTTGTATGGCTTGTAATAATGTCCTTTATTAGGTTTTCAAAGTCCACGAACTTGAAAATAACCTCAAAAATGAATTTTGAAAATGAATATTACCTCAAAAATGAATTTTGAAAATGAATATTACATCAAAAATGAATTTTGAAGATGGTAGATGATTGCTTAAAAATACAACAGGACAATCGTGAATTTTCCTATGGGATTGGCTTGTAATAGCAAAGAGTAGTAGTTATTTTGATGGTAACTGGAACTGTTATACTGGATCTCACATAAACAAGATTTAATATTATTCCAGCAAAACAGTGAGGTATATATATCCAGTTGTTAAGAATTTATCTATTGTTTATTCAGAAATGGTTCGAAATAGTGGTTCAGTGAGTAAGACTCGCTAAGAACGAGATCTGGGGTTCGATCCCTATGTTTGCTGAAAAAGTACCTTAGGATTTTCCAGTGTGGTTTCTCCTTGTCAGGATGCAGCACCAGGGGCTTCTCGAGAAACCAGGTTTATATGTACACGTTGACGTGCGCATACAAGAACCCTAGACAGTTGGAATTCGAAATAAGAGTACACCATAGTACCACTGTCTGGGCCAATTTTCCTCATAGCACACTGCTTGACGAATATCAATATTTATTAACTTTTGTTCAGAAGACTTATGTCCGGAAACCGTTTGTGGTATCATCTAGACAGATGAATTCATATTTGTCAGTCATGTATTTCATAAAGTGAAAAGTGTAAAATGAATCATCGAAGTCTCTGTGTCCGCAACTTGTGTGGTATGGTATCAACAGATCATATTCGTCTGTAATGTAATGCACACCAAGTTCTAAGTTAAAAATAATCATCACGAAAATAATTGGAAATGCATTTACGACTAGGTATCCCAAAAGTCATCCCCCACGATTTCCTCTTTTCTTATGTGTTGTTCTTACATGTAGAACTTGTTGTGAAATACGTAACTGACGAAAATGACCTGTGGATACAACATCTAGACTATACCACAAAAGTTACTGGACACGGAGTCTTCGATGCAAAAACGGACCACATTACCATTTCTGAACGAATAGGAGAACTTAAATTCTTAACGACTGGATATACCACAAATGATTCTCACTCCGGTAAAATGGTGCAAAGACAAAGGAGATGAAATTAAAAATGCGTCAGTTGGCCCCGTTGTATTGTTATGGGGGTTTTATGCATAAAAACAATTAAGCTACATTTATTGTGTCTTAAGGTTAAATTCTTTGAAATTCTAATTAGCTGACTGGTAAGTTCTGCACATGGTTTATTTATTGACAGGTAGATTCCTGGGTCAGGTCAAATTAAGTTGCCCTTAAAAAAGTATTACAATTTGCTATTATAAACCAATCCAAGAGAAAGATTGATGATTGTCCCTTTTTTTTCTGAAACAATCATCTTCAATTATCAAATTCAGAGAGAAAGAGAGAGAAATGGGGCTTAACGTCCACTCGGCACAAACTAGGTCATTTCGGGACTAACATATGGTTTAATTTTATTTACATAATTGGCTTGTGCGTAGGGGTCTTTAGCAGTGGGAGGAAACCAGAGGACCCGGAGAAAACCCACGAGGTTGGACAGGCGACCCTACTCCTTGCCACATACAACCGGGGATTCAAAATCACGCCAGTCGACTCAATGACAGACTTTATGATACAGCACGCGCATGCTAACCATTCAGCCATCCAACCCCCCTATCAAATTCAATGACTCTGAAAACTTAATAGAGGACATATAACAAGCCATATCAAAACAGAAAATTGACGATTATCTTAAAAATTGATCAATTTA